GGAGGGTCAGAGGGAGAAGCAGACTCCCTGCTGAGCAGGGAGCCCGATGCGGGACTCGATCCAGGGACTCCAGAATCATGACCTGAGCCGAAGGCAGTTGCTTAACCAACTGAGCCACACAGGCGCCCTACTTTGCCTTTTTTTAAATTCAGTAATATTATCTCAAGGAATCCAGTATAAGCAAGTCATCTAATATATGGATGCTTAAATAGCATTATTTATGATTATGAAAAATTAAAAACTGGATGTTCCATTGGGAAATAATTACAGTGAATCATTTAAAAATTAGACTCTGGTAATATGAAAATGTGCTTTTGACATAATGTAACTTGAAAAAACAGCCCAAATATTTGAATAGAATCAATACAACAGTAAGAATTATAGTAACATCTATAGAAGAAAAACTACTGAGAAATACTGTTAAATCCTACAAAATTTTAAGGAATGCCTTAGAATGTTTAGAGAAAAAAAGAAAAATAGAGACATAAGTATCTTAAATAGTTGAACAGTTGCCATATAGAAATAGAGGTAGATTTGTTCTAAGTTCTCTATAGTATAGAACTAAATGAAAGGGATTCTTTAGTCAGCAAGGCAGTTTTTAGTGAGATGGTCTGTTCTTCCATATTGACCTTCCTAGAAGTTGTGTATTTCTCCCAAGCAGAACTTACTTTTTATTTAGAAGCAGATAGCTCTTAAATAAATAGAAGGTTTGGTGTACAATAAAGCAAAACTAAACGGTAATTGTAGAATTTAATTGGGTCTTTGGTAGAGTGTTTTAAACCTTTCATTGTGTTAGAAAATTTTTCCTAATAAAATACTGGGATAAAAGTATATAACTTGAATAAGTTTTTTCTAATCACATATTACTTTTCTTAATAGCAGCTTATACAAAGATTGGTCAGGATGACCCCTACATGCCAAGTTTTAATGTTGGAAACATATACTAAATTGAGCCTAACATACAGGTGAAAAAAAAAATGTAGAAATGGAGTGCTGCATGAAGTTTCATTTGAAATCTGTAAACTAGGTTATAATTAATTTTAGAAACCCTAACTTTATTTGCTTTAACAGAACATTGGAAATTATCAAATTATAGGTAGCATAGTGGGAGACAGAATTAGTAGGTGTATTGAAAAGAGTTAAACTAAGGCATTAGAGGCCTTGAAGAGGCTCTGTGGTGGTGGTTTTTAGGAGCATTAGCTCCTGAATCTATCTGGGTTTCGAGATGTGTAACATGGGTGTAGTCTTTCTGTTTTTGGTCCAAGTGAAAGTGGGGATAATAAAAGTAGAGCCTCCTAAACAAAGTTAGGGTGTTAAATAGTATAAACATTTGATAAATGTTAGCAATTCTTGTTGGATCATTATCATTATTGCCATTGTCGTCACCACCACCACCATCATCATCATCATCATCATTTCCCAGGGCTAAATCTGAGCTCCACCTCTTTATTTGTGTGACTTTGGTCTTTGCTTCTCCAAGATTCAGATTTTCCAATGTAACATCACCTATTTCCAGAATGATTTTGAGAATTAAATGAAATAATATTTTTGTATGCTTAATAACATTTTTCAGGTATGTTGAAGAAGGGATGCTTTATTTGTGTTCAGAGTCAACCTAGAAGCTTCCAGTTATGGAATGAATAAATCATGGGGATAAAAGATACAGCATAGGGAATACAGGCAATGATACTGTAATAGTATTGTGTGGTGACAGATGGTAGCTACGCTGTGGTGAGCACAGCATAACCTGTGGAGAAGTTGAATCACTATGTTGTACACCTGAGACTAATATAACATTGTGTGTCAACTATACTCAAGTGAAAAAATTTTTAAAATGCAAATTTAGCCTAGAAGAGTTGTAAAGATTTTTCCACAGTTAATGTTCTGTAATTGGTGCATATATATATAAAATCTTATACATTACAATGAACTTTAAAATAGAAGATCTCATTCTGTCTTTATAACTTTATATTTTACTGTTAATCTCTAAATTATTACAAAATAACTTACCTTTATTTTGTAAAGAAGAAGAAAAGATTCTAACACATTGATTAGATCACGTCAGACAGGCTTAGCTACGTCTTCTGGCTCCAAATGCTGTGTTCTTCCTGTTAAACCATATTAATTCCGAAGGAGAAATGAAATGATCAAATAAATGGAAAATTCTACATCTGGGGAAAGCTAACAGAGAAGTTTAAAACTGTTTCTATTAATGCAATTATTGTTGCCACTTAAAAAATAACAATGACAGAATGGAAGGCTAATGTTTTCATTATTCCTTGAGATTTTTCTGTGGGGCCAGTGGTAGGGCAGAAAGATATTAAGAAATGTTCATGTCCCTTAATTTTTATTCATTTTAATTTTTAAAGAGAAGAGTGGCTTTGTGTTTAATGACTGCTCTTCAGTCTGTTTTATATCTTGTAAGGATCTGACAGTTTTGTTTTACATTTTATAGCTGCAGCTTATCTTCTGGTGTCCCTTATACCAAGCAATTCATTCCGCCAGATGTTCCGGTCAACAAGGTCTTTGCACATCCCAACCCGTGACCTTCCACTCAGTCCAGACACAACAGTAGTCCTACATCAGGTCTACAACGTGCTCCTTGGTTTGCTCTCAAGAGCCAAACTTTATGTTGATGCTGCTGTTCATGGCACTACAAAGCTAGTGCCCTATTTTAGCTTTATGACTTACTGTTTAATTTCCAAAACTGAGAAGCTGATGTTTTCCACATATTTCATGGATTTGTGGAACCTATTCCAGCCTAAACTTTCTGAGCCAGCAATAGCTACAAATCACAATAAACAGGCTTTGCTTTCATTTTGGTACAATGTGTGTGCTGACTGTCCAGAGAATATCCGCCTTATTGTTCAGAACCCAGTGGTAACCAAGAACATTGCCTTCAATTACATCCTTGCTGACCATGATGATCAGGATGTGGTGCTTTTTAACCGTGGGATGCTGCCAGCCTACTACGGCATTCTGAGGCTCTGCTGTGAACAGTCTCCTGCATTCACACGACAACTTGCTTCTCACCAGAACATCCAATGGGCCTTTAAGAATCTTACACCGCATGCCAGCCAATACCCTGGAGTGAGTAAAATTGATAATTCTATCTGTATCTTCAAATTGATTGGAAATAACATATTTCCCCCCCCTTGTGGGAAGTGGTAACAAAATATGGAAGTATAGTCTAACTTGAACTGTTCTTTCTTAAGGACTTAATGTGTATTTGTTTTCTTGAATACATGTATAAAATGCTATATTACTATAAAATTGATAAGTAATATGGGTAATTTTTCTTAGGTTGATGTTGAAATTTTATCTCTAATTGAACTTAGCTATTTTCATTTGTGTTTTTGTAAATGTCTTTTATATGTAACTAATGAAAAAAGTCAGCTTTGTGGTACAGTTTTAGGGAAGTATTTACTCTTTAGATACTTATCGTTAAGATCTACATGCTGTTCTAAGCTGTGAGCTAGAAAATATTTTTATCTTAGCTATAGTATTCCCTAGTGTTTTTTTCCTCACACTACATTCAGGTGAATGAAATGGATAAGGGGTCTATCAGGATACAAATATATGCGGTCTAAATCTGATTCCTTTTTTTCTGCAGACTGTTTGTAGGTTTCATATTAAAACTTTCTCCCTTCGTTTATGGCTGTCATTCCTGGATATTTCTTTTCACTGTTGCTTCTTAACTCTCTGTTGTAAACTGAAGATTACACCAAGAGAATATAAATCTAGGAAAGGGGTTGGGAAGAGAGTGCAGAACTATTTTAACCTAGAGGCTACAAACTGCTTGTGTGAGAAGTTTTTGGCTAAATGGGAGATGGTGGGAGTGGAGCTTTTTCAAGACATCCAACATTAAGAGTTTAATCAGATGAACATGATGAAGAATATTTTAATTATTGGTATCCTTGAATTGTGTACAGTACTTTTTTCCTGTTGAAGAAAGGACCTTTCCAGGGCACCTGGGTAGCTCAGTCTCGGTTAAGCGTCTGCCTTCAGCTCAGGTCATGATCTCAGGGTCCTGGGCTCGAGTCCCGCATCGAGTCCCACATCGGGCTCCCTGCTCAGCAGGGAGCCTGCTTCTCCTGCTCCCCTTGCCTGTGTGCTCTCTTTCTGTCAAATAAATAAATCTTAAGAAAGGACCTTTCCTTCAGATACAATGTAGTAAATTGTTCTCTCCCAGAAAGAATAACCTAATTTCCAGCCAGGAAATTTAGAATGCCTAGAATAGAGGAAAGAAAATGAGTATATTAAGTACCAAAAGATGTTCAAAGCCAAGGCTATAAGACAGAAGGAAACAAATGTGAGAGTCTGCCTGACCTCGAAGGAGTCAGGATTTATCAAGATTTTTCAAGATTCAGTGGATTTTCTTTATCACATTCACATAAATAATATTTGACTTAGTTACTAAACATGATGTCCATGGTATACTTTTGGTGAATGTTGGGGGAGTTAGAATATTTATCTGATAATGTTTCCTGACATCAATAAAATATAACATCTTTTATTGTAGAGCTTAACTATTGGAGATTTTCATGAAAATGGTGCTTAAATCAATTTTTGCCATGAAAAATCACAGAGTTGGGGGTTTTCAGTTCATTGATAAGTATGCCCACATGCCCATGCTAAATGAGTTTATAAACCCACAGTTAGCGATTTTACTTAAATATTAGTTCCCATGTTTCATCCATCAGATAACTTGAACTAACCATTCATCAGTCCAGAAAGAGCATTCCAAATGTTGGCACAAAGGGTTTTCTCGGAAACGGTATTAATTCAAATGTAAATGAGGGCTGTAAAATTGTGTGAGGAGGAAGTGATTTCTCATTAAACAGGGCAAAGGATTGGTGTAGCATATCTGGACACCCATTTGAAGTTACAAGGCTAGTGCTTTAATAAATAGTATTAAGACTAAAAATGAACCCTAAAAATGAGTCTTCCTGAAAATTTGATTATTTACTTTTAGTAAATAATATATTAAATTTTTAAAATAGAATCTATTGCTAATTTTGTAACTATTCTTGAATGGTAGTGTAATCTAATATCATTTGTATAATTTTAAGAGCCGGCTAGTGGGCATAACATTCAAAAATGAGAAGCAAACATTCTAAAATGTTGTAGGGTTAAAAGATCACCATGATGCTTATTTGCCCTTTTTAGGCAGTAGAAGAACTATTTAACCTGATGCAGCTGTTTATAGCTCAAAGACCAGATATGAGAGAAGAAGAATTAGAAGATATTAAACAGTTTAAGAAAACAACCATAAGTTGTTACTTACGTTGCTTAGATGGCCGCTCCTGCTGGACTACTTTAATAAGGTAAAAAGATGTTTTCTGGTGTTTTTTTAATTTGTTTTGTTTTTCCAGGTGAGGGAATGGGGACCATCCTTTTGACACTTAAAAGAGTTATAGTTAGGGGCACCTGGGTGGCTCAGTTGGTTAATTGGCTGCCTTCAGCTCAGGTCATGATCCCGGGGTCCTGGGATCGAGTCCCGCATCGGGCTCCCTGCTCCGCGGGGAGCCTGCTTCTCCCTCTCCCTCTGCCTGCCTCTCTGCCTACTTGTGCTCTCTATCTCTCTGTCAAATAAATAAAGAAAAAAAAAAAAAAGAGTTAAATTATTTATAACTGAAAGTTTACCAGTTCTTTAAGGTGATTAGGGAAGCATTTTTGCATTGAGTCACCTTGGAAGGATTTATCTTTTAAAAATTAACAAGCTACTTTTGAACAGCTTTTGTTTTCAGGGTTTGGTTTTGGATTGTTTATATGTGTTTTATCAGTATCATAGAATCAGGGTTGGAAGGAATCTTAATGTACAGTCTTACATCTAAGGCTTGAATCCTCCTCTCTCTCGTGATTCATCCTGTCTTACGCTTGGACAGTTCAGTTCTAGAGGCCTCCAGGAACAGCTTTCTCCATCTTTGGATGAGAGTTACTATTAATATGTTTTTCATTCTATTTAGCCCAGATTTACCTGTCTTTTTTAACTGTAGGAATTAGCCAGAATAACAAAACATCATCTTTATAATTGTTCAGAGCTACAGAAGTTATTGAATGGCTATAAAGGAACTCTACAACAAATTACACATAGTTCCCTTTAACTGTGGAAATAAAGGCCAGGTTAATTTCTTAAAGTGCTTCTATATATTACATCTAAGACTTGCAGGTAATGTCCTTTATTAGGCACACATTTTTTGGCAGTACTTCCTTGAAAATAATAGTATTTTATGCTTAACCCAAGATAAGATTATTTCAGGTTATCTTCTTCAGAAAACTTTCAAATTTGAATCTTTATTAGTACACAAAATGAATTAACTATGCTTTTGCCAGGACTCCAAAGGAATTCTTTTAAAATTTTGGCATTAATTTTGAATACATTGTTTCCAAGGTTTACTACTTAAAGCTTATTCTAAAAAAAAAAAGACTTTGAGCTTTCTTAATTCTTTTTTAAAAAAAGGAAAGACAACGTCTAACTGAAGTAGAAAGATTCCAGTTGTACTAATATAGCAGTGGTTTCCAGTACCTAATAATGAAATTAAGTCTAATAACAAGAGCAATACAACTACTTTTGATAATTATCACATAAATTATTTTCAAGACCACAATGTATTTAATGTGTTTCCCCCTCATGTTTCTCTTTCTTCCCAAGAACCAGCTGACAAGTGCTTGGATAGTATAAGTGTATTTTATTATTATCCAGAGCTTAACATAATCTAGAAGATAAACCCATTATGAAAATAAGCATTGTTTATACAGAAACTTTAAAAATATTCCTATGATACCTCTCTTCCACTATTGAATTGTTGACTAGATACTAGCAGACATAACTTTTCTCCATGTTACTTAGAGGATTTCTTAATACTAACTCCTTTTATTACATTAGTAGGAAACAGATAATAGCAGTCCCTCTCCTATAGGTGGAAAAGAGCCTCAATTACAGTTTTCTTCTATTTTTTTTCACCTAAGTTTTCCATTCTGATTCAGAGTTCTCAACCTGGATTTTTTGTATTCTTCTAGTGCCTTCAGAATACTGTTAGAATCTGATGAAGATAGACTTCTTGTTGTATTTAATCGAGGTTTGATCCTGATGACTGAGGTAAATATTTATTTCATTTTACTATAGATATAGCTCATATTAATGTTCTCACCAAGGCTTTTTGTGTGTGTGTAGATATTTAGAGTTTATGCTATACTGTTTTACAGGTGTCTGGATTTTCATTATATAGATCAGTAAATGCTAATCTATATTCCAAGAATGATTAGGTCACAGTTTTTAGGTTGCTGTTTTCTTTGTCCATAGTAATTCCATACTTCTCTTCTTCTTTTGTATTTAGAACAACCACTGGAAATAGACTGGTTTTATTCATTCCATGTGTAAGGGTAGAAACAGATGAAATTCATATGATGTAATCACTGACATAATTTCTCAAGAGCGGACTTATTTGATAGTTAAGAAAGTGAGATTAGCATCATGAGAGGAAGCCATTGAGTCTGTTACAGGTGAACATCCACAAACTGTGAGATGATTTTAAAGCCATAGAGGTGCATTTTACCTCTTAGTCTAATAAAGGAGAGAAGACAAAAGAGTATATGCCAAAAGAACCATCAGAAGTAAGAGGTAGGATAGTTTTCTTCAGTTAATGATATTATAGTATAGGAATACAACATGTTTGAAACCGTACTTTGAAGAATTTGAACTTGTAAAGATAAGCAAGAGAGCATTTAGATAAATGACTTGGTCAGCAGAGGCAAGAAAGTATTGTCGTATTTGAAAAATGCCAAGTATTTCTGTTTGGCTAGAACAAAAAGTATGTGAAAAGTAGTGAGAAATTCATTGTTTCGCTCAACAGATGTTTGAATGTCTACTAGCTAGCTAGCACTGGGGATACAGCAGTGAATAAGACAGACATGGTTCCTAGCCTCACAGCTTACAGGTTAAATGCCACACAAGTACATTGTTCAGATTATGTACTGCCACCGATTCTAGACTGTGGATTTTGAACTTTGAATTACGGCTAGTATATAGATTTTAGGGAACTGATTCAAGAGGATTAGAAAAAAGCCTTTGTGTGGAATGAAGTAGGAAAAAAAACTAAGGATTTTGAATTAAAAGATTTTAACAAGCCAATATGATTAAAGGAATTCTTCCTTTTGGAGCTCTTTTTCCTCATTTCAGACTTACTGTTGACAACCATTTCACCATTGTCTTCCTTCCCAAAGCCCTGGAAAGTTAGTTAAAGCAGTCACCTGTTCTACCAAATCTTCTTGTTGCCTGCTTCTTCGTAATTTCTAAGGTGTTTGTGGTCTTAGAGCAAACAGTAACCAAAAACAAACAAACTGATGAAACAAATTATTCCTTCAGACCAAAATGTATGCATAAAATATTAGCTCCGAAGGTGAGCACTGTTTTGTATTTTAAAGAGCTGACTTGGGAGAATTTGACTTAGGTAGAAAGCAAATACATTTGATTTGTGCACATGTGCACACACATAGGGTCTGAAAACATCTATCATAAAGGATGAGTACTACCATTTTGTGGTCAGTAAAGTAAAAATGAAATGAAGTTTTCCATTTTTTAAAATCACTTGTAGTCTTTCAACACACTGCACATGATGTACCATGAAGCCACAGCTTGCCATGTGACTGGAGACTTAGTAGAACTTCTGTCAATATTCCTTTCGGTTTTGAAGTCTACACGCCCGTATCTTCAGAGAAAAGGTTTGGTCATTCCTACTTCTTCTTTTTGTTACTTTCAACTATTAAAGAGTGAAATAAGGATGTCAAACCACATCCTTCAGAGAATTTGTCTTTATGTCTGGTTTATGTACCGAAGGTGGAGCTGATGCTGGCTAACCATCAGGAAATGTTCATCATGACCTGGTATAAGGCTGGAGTGCTCTTGTCTAATCTCTTATGCCTGCCTGAAAAATAGGCAAGCATCCTATATAAGTGTTAAGATTTAAGAGATTGGAAAACACTTCTAAGCACAGTAACAAAATGGGTATTTTGTAAAGGTTCTCCAACTGGAAACCTCCATGGCTTAGGTTAGATCATTTTTAGTTTTAAGAGAAATAACTATAAAACCTATCTCTTGTGTCCCTGTAAAATTGAATGTGAACTTTGAACTTCCTATAAATTTCTGGAAAATGGAAAGGTTCATCCCTAAAGTATGCACTTAAGAAATCTAGCAGGTTTCACAGTAGTAGCCATCTCATGAAAATGCTCACTTAGGTTTCACCAAAGATGTTTATGTCATTAATTTGATTTTCTTAGTGTTAGCATTCTGTAGATAAAAATAGAACATAATTGTGAGGAAGTTTGAACTCAAATGGCATATTTATGTATGCTTTTATATTTGCAGATGTGAAACAAGCATTAATTCAGTGGCAGGAGCGAATTGAATTTGCCCATAAACTGTTAACTCTTCTTAATTCCTATAGTCCTCCAGAACTTAGAAATGCCTGTATAGGTAAGTTACTTGGAAAATATGTATGTGTAAAAACCTAATGGATGAAGATTTTTGTGGAATATTCTTTGTAGGATGTGATATTAGTTCTGCAGGGTTTGGAAGACATTTGTACTTTTTATTTGTAACTCACACTGGCCAGCAGGTTCTAGAAAATCTAGTTATATTTCTCAACATGCCAGTAATTACTTTATATGATCACAGGCAGGTCATGTAATATATCTGGGCTCTTTGACCTTAGGTTATCTCTAGATCTCGTTCAGCTCTGAGATCTTCTGGTTCTATGTAAATAAGGTAGGATCATGCAAATGTTTTGCAAAGGAGAGCTGATGCTGTAAAGGGCTGGGGAGATTATTTTTACTGCCTGTTCTTTTACCTAAAGATACTTGTAGTACTTGTTCTTAGACTCCCAGGTATTTTACCTTTTTATTGATTATATATTTATAATGAAGTGATAATTTGTGCCTGTTAAAGGACCCCCCCATTTTAAATTTATAATGTATTTTTTACTAGTTTAGAAGCCATTTTTAAAAGTCCTCTTTAGAGACTGTAATTGTTAATTTCCAGTTTCTCAAAATGACATGAATAACTGGCTGCCACGTATAAGCAGTTTTGGCAAGCTTTGGCCTGATGCTCTGTGGAATTACTGGCCTGTACTTCAGTAACCTCTGATTCAGTAGCCTGTCATCACGAGCTTTACTTCTCTATGATTAGGGGATGAACATCAGTCAAGCTAGCATCATGAAACATTAAAAGTAGACTAAGGATTATGTCTTAGATCCAAAGAACTTTGAGCCTTAGATTTCTGTCTTAAGTTGCTTTGGTTGATTTTATGAAGACATGTCATCAGTGTGCATTAAATATTTTCCCTTAGTGTACTTCTCCATGATGCTTCTTCTCTTGGATAAATAAAATACAAATAAATAGTTTTAAACTTTGGTTTCTAAATGATGGCTGTACTTTGGTTAGTAACTGATCCAGATTTGATTGAGCATCAGACAGAATTTCTCCCAGTGTCAGCAGCTAAAACAGTTTTAGACTCTTTAAACCTTTCCACCCGCCATACTGCAACTAGTCACCCTAGCAGGATTTGTGAGTTCGAAAGAAGCAAGTTAGATAGGGCGCCTGGGTGGCTCAGTTGGTTAAGCGACTGCCTTCGGCTCAGGTCATGATCCTGGAGTCCTTGGATCGAGTCCCACATCGGGCTCCCTGCTCGGCGGGGAGTCTGCTTCTCCCTCTGACCCTCCCCCTCTCATGTGCTTGCTCTCTCTCATTCTCTCTCTCTCAAATAAATAAATAAAATCTTTAAAAAAAAAAATAAAAAAAAAGAAGCAAGTTAGATATCCTCCAGCTTTTTAATACTCATATTGTGTTTTTATTTTCAGATGTCCTCAAGGAACTTGTGCTTTTGAGTCCCCATGACTTTCTTCATACTCTGGTTCCATTTCTACAACACAACCATTGTACTTATCATCACAGTAATATACCAAGTACGTATTCATCTAGCACAGTACTTGAATGTGGTTGGCATTTAATCTTTCTGCACACTGAAGCATGGAGATTTATTTTTTCCATTTATTCTTATTGTACACTTTTAATGTCTTAGTGTCTCTTGGACCTTATTTCCCTTGTCGAGAAAATATCAAGCTAATAGGAGGGAAAAGCAATATTCGGCCTCCGCGCCCTGAACTCAATATGTGCCTCTTGCCCACAATGGTGGAAACCAGTAAGGTATGTTGGGATGCCAGGAAAACCATGTTTCTGTAGTACACAGTAATTTGAAATTTTCCCTCTGGCAGTTATATTAGACTTAAATGACCATTTTGTGGATCCTAAGAAGATTAGACTCATTTGGACTTTTTCCTTTTAGTGCTCTGAAATGTTGGTTGAGTATTTGCAAAATCAACAATAAGCACAAGTAGTAAGTTTTTTCCTCCCTAAAAAAAAAAAAATACCCTAATAGAAAGTCTTACTAGTTGTCACTAGGCTAAATTATAACTGGGTCATATATCTAAACCTGAAAAGTCAAGTTAGGTAGTTACTATTGTTTAAATTTGGCCATATAATCAATGACTTCTTTTACTGCCCTTTAATTATAATCCTTTGACCTAGGCTTAATATCACTGATTGATAGATCTATCATCATTTGTAGTCTGATTCTTCTCTTTTAATGCGTATCCTAAAATAATGCTAATTCTAAATTATAGAGAGAAGGTACATTGACACAAGATAATTTATCTCAGTTTCAACATTTTTTTAAACAATTTTTCCCCCTTTTTCTTCACCCCGCTTCATTCACACTCCCTTGCCCACCATCTTTGGATCTTAAATATACTTCTTAGAAGATAAAATATTAAAAATAATTAACACTGTAGTAGCCATTACAGAAATCATTTGAAATCTCTTTCAAAAATCAAATTTAATTCAACTCTTGATGATGTCTGTAGAACTAAAGTGTCACATTTTAAAATCCTACAGTAATTTTACTTGATTAAAGTATATAGAAATAATGGGTAATTTTAATTGATAGCATTTGCACACTGAAAATAAACTTGTGACAATTAAGATCTTAACATTACTAGAAACTTGGAATTTAAAACTAGGTTCTTATAGAATTTAAATATTTAATCAGCTTTTTAGTTAAACTTATTACATTTGCACAAAATATGCTCTTTAATTTATTATACAATTTAAGTGCAACCATTTTATCATCTTTAACCTTCAGGGCAAAGATGACGTTTATGATCGTATGCTGCTAGACTACTTCTTTTCTTATCATCAATTCATCCATCTATTATGCCGAGTTGCAATCAACTGTGAAAAATTTACTGAAACATTAGTTAAGCTGAGTAAGTATAAAAGATGAGCAGTAAATTCCACTGAATTATTTTAAGCCCCTAGCCACTCAGGAAGGGGAGACAAAAATGAGACGATCCTTTTTTTCTTTTTTAAAGTGACTGTTTAAAAATATTAATTATTCTTGGGAACACTTTTATTTTTATTAAGAAAACACCAACTTACTGGTTTCCATTGAATAGTTCTGCCCAGAGTTTCAGCTGGCCTATAAAGGAGTGGAGTAGGGCTGATCACTTTTGTACATAGAAGCCCAAGTCCTCCTCCATCTGCCCAGCAGAATTTAAAACCAAAAACCAAAACCTACTCTGCTTAGGGAGGCAGGCTTAGAGAGGTGGACTTTCCCAGCCCTGGTCTTGAGGATAAAATGAGATCTATAGTGCCAGCTGTGCTTTGGAGCTGGCAATGCCAAGAGCAAACTGAGTGGGCTTGCCAGGGTGAAGCAGAGGTGCATATATGAGTAAATTAGGAGGTAAGTCTCATGAAATAGAGAAGTGAATGAGAAGAAAGGAAATTTGAAAAGGAAGATATGAGAAATAGAAAAACCATCAGTGAATTTTAAAAGGAGAAAAAACTCAAATTACTCAAGGATGTGCTTGAGAGCTATAAGAGAATTGCTCCCTTTGGGTGACTTTTTCTAGCTGATAAGTCTTTAGAAGACATATCCCTTGTCTCAGGACTTCCAGAGTTCCCGGGCTCTGTGTGTCCTGTGAGTCTTACTTCTTTAGGGATGGCCCAGGATTCTTTCCCAGTGTTCTGTAGTTTTATTTCAGAGCATAGGAAGTGAAGTGCTCGTGGAACCAGAATATTGCCATACTCTAGAACTCCCCTTTGTGCTCTTCCTCAATCACAACCCCTTCCTTCTATGGAAAAGGTTTTGATCCATTTTAAGTAAGGCAAAAGATGTGAACATACCTTAGGTTTCATTATCGGAGAAGAAGGAAGTGGTAACAGCTGTCAGGGATAATTCCTCTTCAGAAAAACCATCCTATTGGTAAGTGATTAGAGTGTCTTCACATTTGAAAGGTTGTTCCTTCCACCTGTTATCATTAGCTGGTTTTATACACATGCGGCTGAAATGGCAAGTGGGGGTGGTTGGGGAGGGAAGCACATATTCAGATGGGCCATTTCATGATTACACAGTTCAGTCATGGCACTTGGTAAAAAAATAAAACCTAGCAGTGGCAGTGATCAAATGTGAGAAAATGTCCAGGAATTCTAGTAACAGCCTTACTCCCAGATAAGGAGGGGGACTTACTAAATGCTGACCTTAAGAAAAGTTCTTGGTAATTGTGTTATGTGATTTATACCAGAAGTTATGTGAGGAGTTGTTTTAGCTGCTTGAACAGCTCTGATCAAATAGTGAATTTCTACCTTCTTTGGGGCTGTCTTCCTCATCAATACAAAAACAGTTTCAGGGAAATTAAATATGGAGGAGAGAAGAAGGGAGGGAGGGAAAGGACATACACTTAGTCTTCAACATTAGCTGAATCAACTTTTATAGTGTTTAATACATTCCTCTTGTAACCATGAAGCACTGTTGATGCTGCCTCCTAGTGTTTAGTTTTCTACATAAGCACTATTCTATAGAACTTTTCTATGAGGATGGAAATATTCTCCAACTGCATCATCGTCCACAGTATGATAGCCAGAAGCCATATGTGAGTGTTGAGAACTTGAAATGTGATTTAAGGAGCTGAATTTTTGTTTAAGCCAGATGTGAGTGGTGGCTATATTGAATAGAAACCAAAGCCTTCACAAATTGAGCAGGAAAAGAAAATTTTCTGGGCTGTATCTTTTTCTTTTAAATTCATTCATTCGTTTATATGTTTTTACTAGATCCTCCTACTCTGCCAACTTCCCTGGAACTCATGGTTAATTGTCTTAATTAATGCAGAAAATTAATTAGACATTATTTTAACAAAGACCTAAAAGCAGTGCTTTCCTCATGCCTCACCTGAATGAAGAGAGTATGTTCCAGTGCTTAAAGTTAACTCCCACTTTCAGCTGAAATGATTATTTCCAGGGAGAGGCACCTAGGAAAGAGCTTAAAATAAAGCCCACATTAATGACTGTAATGAGGAGCAGAGAGTTGCTAAGGAGTTCTAATTTGTGTAATTTCTTCAGGAAATTAAATTTGGCAACAAGGAGAGGGAAAGGTAAATTTAAATTGGTTATGTCCTTAGTCATTTAAGCCTTGAGGTTAGATGGTCCAAGGGCCAGAAAGTTGTGACCATAGGTGGGATTGTCTCAAGACTTGGATTGCAAGTCACTTCTAATTTTCAGGACAAGTCTTTGTGTAATTGTTATATGGGTAACTGAGCAGATTTTAAGATTTGTTAGGAGATAAAAAGGAATTTTATTGCATATTAGAGTTGCAGGTACTAACTAGTAAAGTAAGGGCCTGGAGTGCTTTTGAAGTGAGGGTAGTCAGGCATGGGGTTAGGGAAGACAGACAAGTGGGGGGAGAATTTTGGGAGAGCAAATAAAGCTACTGACTGCCATTGAAATAACAGTGTGTTTGAAACTACAGTATTTTGATAATTTAAAAATAGCAGAGTTTAGCCCAGAAAATTCTTAAAAAGAATAATAAGAGGGTTTGGCACTATTAATTTCTAAACTACTTAATAAAGATCAGTAATTTTTAATTTCATTTTTTAGGATTTACTACATACACACAATTTATAATTCAAAATAGCAAAAGGTATACATGACCATATCACTCACAGGCCTTCCCCCCCACTTTCATTAATTTTTTAATCTTTTTTTTTGCATGAGAACAACAAATACAGGTTTATTTTCTCTCCTGTCTTACATAAAAGTAAACTGTACTGTTTAAAACTAATGTAACGAACTATAGAAATGATCCCTGAAAGTATAGTCTTAAAACTATGTAATGTAGATATGCAAATATATAGGCAGAAAAACATACATAGGCAAAAACAGCCCTCAGACAAACATAAGGATACATGAGGATTTGGAAGACAATAGAGATGATCTATCAGACCTGTGGAGATTGTATGGTATTGAGAGAATCAACTATCTAAGGAGAGAAGGGGCAAACTTTAATATCTACTTCAGTACTTAGACTGCAATAGATTACAGGAGAATTAAATACTTAATTGTGAAAAATAAAATCATAACAATACTAAAAAATACAGAATCATATGGATAGCACCTTCCAATTTGAAAGCCCATGTTAAGCAGGACGTAAAACCCATAAACAAAAGAAATTAAAATTTTTGGCAACATAAAAACTGAAAATACTACATGTTGAAAAATGCCATAGACTAAAGTACAGCTAATGGGAAAAATATTTGCATTCTTAACAGATAAATTGCTAGTATTGGCAATATACAAAGAGTTTTTAGGATTCGGTGAGATGGGAAAGAACATTAATAAGTAAAGGACATCAGCAAGCAACTCCTTTACACATACAAAACAAGTAAATGTTTGGTAACCATATGAGGGGCTGCCCCACCTTACTAATGATGATTTCTCTTTTCTCTCCTTTTTTTTCCAACTATGAGATAAAGTTTCGATGTCATACATACTTAAACGGTTTGAAAAAAGAAAAGATGTTATAATGGAGTCAGATCAGGGATGCGTACTAGCATTATCAATTTAGATTGTTCATAGCCCTTAATCCCGCAGTACCAGATCTAAGAATCTACCCTACTCTACTTACAAAAGTGTCCAAAAACATATATAGGACATTTATTTTCACTCAGTTTGTATTGGATAAAAACTGGAAACAACTCAAATGTCCATCAATAGGAGCTTAGTTAAGTAAACCTATAGTTTATTGTATAGTCTTTAAATAGTTTGTCTGTCTTATATATAGATCTTTAAAATAAAAAGATAGGAAATGACTTTGGATTACATGAGAAAAAGCAAATTGGAAAATAATATGCAGAATGTGACCACAGTCTTAGAACAATAGGACAAATCACTTAGTACATGTAAAAAAAAAAACAAAAAAAAAAACCCACACAAAACCTAGGGGATTATACTCTCAACTGTGTATGGATAAACTTATGGGTTGCTTTCAAGGTCTAGGTTAAATGACTGTAAGTTTTAAATTATTTGCAATGATCATTTGTATTGGGGAGGGGAAACAAAATTTTTAGAAAGTAGTCTAGGAAGCTGGTACTGCAAACTCTTGTATCATTTTTTAAGGTACCATACAGACGTAAAATTAACACTAAGATGCCCAAGTAAAATTAAATGACAAATTTCTAGATTTCATCATTTAATTAATTTTCATTTTCAGAGATAAAACAAGAATCTATCACCTTTACTATTTAACATTGCTTTTGACAGTTTTCAGAATGCATTAGTAAATGAAAGTAAAAAATAGTAAAAGGAAATTTTTGCAAGCAACATGGTATACCTAAAAATCTGAAATCTTCAAAATCTCTAGAATTAAAAAAGTTAAGATTGTTGGTAAAAGTAAACAAATTAGAAATTCAGATTATAAAAAAGCACAGCTCTGGTTCATCCTTTGCCTTTTTTGATGTCAAGATGGTACTGATTGGAAAGACAACTGGTTAGCTGTTCTCCAAAAGACTTCTTAAGGTGAATGAAGATACCAGTCATTCAGTGCGTATCAGAAGGCAGCTTCTACCTGTCTACCAAGGGCAAATCCATTTATCCTAGGCTAATACTTAGTAATTATACTTAATAGATATATTTATAATTTGATTACCAGTCTGTTATTTACAAAGGAATAACTGACACAAGGATCTGAATATTCCATGGTAGGGCCAGCAGATTTCTTTCCACTAACCTACATGGGAAGCCATATAAACAGCACTTGGTTGCTTAGTGGGTATAAGTGAGAACAAGGGGAATTAGAAGAATCAAATATGTGATATTCTTAGGCTAGAATGTCTTCATGATTCAGTCCCATAGTGGAGCATTAGTTGTGGGCTTGGCAAAAGCTACCACTTTCCATGGACAATGCTTGGATGGGTTAAACACTCCTATAGAAAACCAGACAATCCTGACGCAATTCAGATAGGAGACACCTTAAACTAGTAAATATACACATCCTCACAGCAATCATTTGAATTACCATTTTACCTACAAAAACAGTTTTTATAAGATTTTCAGTAACACATCTAGTAGCATCTACAGTATAAAGTGTTACTAATGAGGAAAAGATATTTGGGATAGTTTTTGATTATTGTCTATTAGTTTCTTTGTGGATGGGTTGGGGTAAGAACCCATTGAGGATGTCTGAAGTCACAGGATGAAGAAAGCTAAGTGGGCAGAAGCCAGTATGTCTTAGGCCTGCCTGTCCTGTTTATTGAGACAAGGCTTGGATGTGTGTCTTGATTGCATCTCTCTGTGCTTTGTACCCAGTATAGTAAGACATCCCAGAAGGTATTGGAAGAACGTGTGGAGTAGGATGGCACTGGCCTCTACCTTGAGTCATAGAGCCAAGATGCGCCTCATCCTCAGTGCTTTGTGAAAATGCTAGAAAGAAACTTAAACTGTGTTGTTCTGAAGGGATGGCCCTCCTTCCAAAGGAGGTGCAACTCAGAGAGGAAATAGGTAGGACTGTAAGAGAGGGATCTTTGACTCATCATGGGTGGCAGTGTTTTCCAGAGTGTAGTGTATAAGATGGTACATGGAAAATAATTTTATATTCATAAATATGTATAGATGTTACTGTGTCACAGAAATATATAACTAGTATACCAAATTTGTGACTTCCTATATGTTATGTTGCCTAAGGCTAATGTAGCATTATCTTCCCTAAGTGAATCCAAAGAACAGTACTAAGTAAACAGTACAGGTGATGGACAGATATGAAAACAATAATGAAAGTGGTATGAATGACTGAAGTTTGGGAAAACACTGATCATTGAAAAGATTATAGGCTTCAGAACCAGGTATACCTGGGATAGATGTTTTGCTCACTGGCTTTTGGGATGAACCTGAGCAGATTACATAATCTCTCCAAGCCTGATAGCTTCATTGAGAAAAGGGGAAATGAGAATAAAACAATACCTCCCAAAGTTGATGAGAAAATCAGATGTAATTATCTGACACACCTAGCACAATAGATGCCAGCATGTATTTATTTCCTTCTTTTCTTGTAAAATAAAGATATTAGTATCGGATTATTACTTGGAAGTGATCTTATAGAAATCCTCTGTGGGGTTTTTTATTTGCTGTGGTAGTGCTGGCTTTTTGGTGGTTGTGGAAAATAGGAATAAAGATTATATTTTCTACTTTGAGGAATAATTGAGGAAAAAGAGTAGAGACTAGAGAAACTTAGATTGTAATGTACAGTCTACTTCCATCTGAGAGGTCAGGGCAGCCTCTAGTTCAGCGGTTGGCAGACTCTTTCTGCAAAGGTGTACTTGCTGGCCATATGTATGGTCTGTGTCACATATTCTTCGTTTCACTGTTCTTTTTACAATCCTTTAAAAATACAAAAGCCCTTCTTAGCTCACATGGCCATCCAGAGACAGGCTGTGGACCAGACTTGGCCTGCAAGCCAGAGTTTGCCAACTGTTGGTCTACTTTTATGGGTAATTACGAGGCAGGGACATGGGAGCATAGAAACTCTTTCCTGTACCCAACAATTTTGATGACATGCCTTCATTTGCGTATGTGTATTGTGCTCTTACAGTGGGTAAATGCCTCCATCCCCAGCCAGATTAGGTTACGATAAAGGAAAATGGTGAATAGTTTCCTTGGGGGGGGGGGTCTCTCTACAAAGGGATTAATCTTGACAGGAATATAATAAATAGACTTACCCACAAAAGGGAAACTTGGCATTCTTGGATGACTAAATTGGATGACTGATCTGACTTTCCTGTCTTAAGATTTTCTTGAATCCTTGGTCCAACCCAGAGGTTGGCAAACAATAATAGCCTGCATGCTGCCTGGTTTTGTATAACCAGTGAGCTTACCTGCACGCTAAGGAGGGTTTTTATATTTTTTAATGTTTTTTTTTTAAAAAAATACTAGTTTATTCTAAATACTCTGTGACACATGAAAATTACATGTGATTCAAATTTCAGTATTTTTAAATTTTATTGAAAGATAGCCACACCCATTCATCTAGTGTTGTCTTTGGCTGCTTTCATACTACCTCTGCAGAGTGAGTAGTTGCAACAGAGATCATTTGGCAGCAAAGACTAAAATATTTACTGTTTGGCCCTTTATAGAAAAAGTTTGCTAACTTCATGTCTGACTCATAATTTTTTCTTACCTGGAGGAGAGTTATATTTCTCCTCCATCATACTTTTGCTGGAAGTGGGAGCATGGAGAATGGGAAATTTACTTACAGCTGTGGTATAGCAACTTCTGTGCTTTGAGAGGTAGGAGGGCAGAGGGTAGAGGAATACATTTCTTAGAGATACACTTGACATTTGGAATAGGGAGGGGGGGAAGGTTAAAACAGTAGAGGTTCCAAATAGGACCCTGACATACAGCTAAGTATGGTCTACCCAGAAGAGCTTGGGGACAAGGCTAGAAGCTGTTGGACTCAAGAGCAGTGTTTACATACATCCACCGTAAAGATTATACTCCCTGTGTTTGGAGAAACAAGGTAAAAGAGGAAGAACAGTATGTTTTCTAATTCTCCGCATCCTCTTTTTAACCTTGTCCCTCCTTCCCCTCCAAGCTTAGCTAGTCCATGAAAATTACCTAATATGCAGAGTGGTACCTTAATCCAAGAAAGCTTTGGGACCACTTGCAATAACCCTTTTTATATTGTCCCAGATAAAGTTCTAATACTTAAAAAGCAGAATTGGTTTAAGTTACCTCAGATCCTGCTGGGAATGAGGTGTGGAATCTGAATAAATTCAGTCAAAGTATACTGCACTCTAAATTATTTCACTGGTTAAAGCACTGGAATGAATTCTTCCCCTTTTTTCTATATATTTCTAAGACATGTAGAAAAGATGCATAGTTATGACTAGAAATACCTAGAATTGTACCTGCAGAGTTGAATACCTCAGTAGTATAATTTATAACCTATTCTGATTTCTTTTCAAATATTAGGTGTCCTAGTTGCCTATGAAGGTTTGCCACTTCATCTTGCACTGTTCCCCAAACTTTGGACTGAGCTATGCCAGACTCAGGTAAAGAAAATGAGTTTTAGATGATTTGGTCTTTCATCTCATCTGACCATTTGGTCAGTAATTTTAGGAACAATGGGTTGAACACAAGCTGGAAATTGGAGATGTTTTAGAATCTTGGTAGGTAAAAATATGCTTAATGGAAGTAATAGCTATTGAGTATTGGGCATCAAGTTGCCCTTTGAGGTTTTTACTTCAGTAGATTTGTATCACAGAGGATGTTTCAAAGTAGCTATTGAATTTGTAATTTATAGATCAATATAAACAGTTATGCTAAAAGACCAAAACAGGGAGGTATTTAGGGGAAGAAGGCGTATGCCACTTCTTGCTCTCCCTCACCTGCCCCATCTGTCTTGCTCCCCTCCACCCTTCTCAGAGCTTTAGCAGAAACAGTTTCAGCAGTCTGTCCTTCACCTCTTCCCTGTTACTTTGAAGAGGTTTTCAAGAGTCCGATGCACTTGTTCTTACCAACAGTCTCATTGAGAACAAGAAACACCATATCCTACCTACCTTAAGTATCTAAGAGCCAACTCTTTAAAATAAAGTGGGCACCTCAATAATGCTTGTTTAATTGTTGGGGGGGGAGGAGAATGGCACAGAGATAGGGGAGAAACTAGATTGGTCCAAAGATTTGGCTCATTCCTTGGATCAGGTCTAAAGGATCCCCACTTTCTTTAGACCCCGAAAAAAAACTATTGGTTTCTTCCTGGTTGCAGCTGCTCATCCCCAGAGATGTTTGTTAACTTTACTTTGGCTTTAACTTTACCCAAATTATAGTATCTAAAACATTGAAACACTTTATGCCTCTGGTATAGCCTCCTGCCTGGGCTGTAATGCTCTTTCTTCTCTTCGGGGATGTGTGTCAAGTGGTGGTGCTAGGATAGTTGTTTCTCTGTCTCCTGGTCACAAACTGTGAGCTTCTCAAGTGTAGAAATGGAGTCCTCTCTGGCCGCTAAAGAAATGTCATTTTGTTTTCTATAGTAGGAATCTTTGAACTAGTTTATGTTAGTCACAGAGCTTTAGAACATTGCGGCTTTGAGAAAATGACTTGCTGATTGATTTTCAGCTGAGTGGTCGATTCAGCAAATTGGAGCAGATCTCTTTTTCCCTCTGCTGCTGCTACTCTTCCTTTCATTCTTGATTCGGGTAGTTGGGTTTTCTTGGTTTCTCTACTCTGCCACTGTCTATTGCTTCCCTGTTGTTTTAGCTACTGCAGCATTTTACCACTCCCTTTATTGGCTTATTTTCCAAAGAATTCACCATCTCCAAAAACTTCAAGACAACGCAAAACTCTTGTAAGGCTTCTAAAGCCCTGCCAGCTCGGTAGAAGCAGCCATCAAGAAACCCAGGCAGCAGGCAGACTCTCGGCTGGTAGAATGACCCAGTTTTCCTGACAGCAAGTGTCTAAGGAGCTGGGCCCTGGTCCTGTTAGACTCCCTGATTTCTTGGGTGAACATGAATGTACTTACCAAATTGCTTACCCTAATAAAATATTTAAGTATATAACCTGTATATATTACCTAAACTTTGTCCTATTTTTTTTAAATAGTCCATTTTGTCTTCCATATAAATGATCTATTATTAAAATACATATAATCTAGAGAGTATATTTACTTAAAGACATACTACTTGTGTTTAAGAGCCATGACCATTGAAAAACAGGAAAACCAAATTTTAGTGGAATTTCCATATATTGGGGACCCACTAATTATCTTTGTGAGATAATTAAATTTGCTGTTTATCTTTGCAATATTCATGGGGGGGGGGAGATATTTACCAAACAAATTACTATTGCTTAAGGTTTTAACTCCTTTTAGGGAATAAATTTAATTCTTAAAATTTGTCTTTTTCTCCACATATAGTTTGGTTACTTATTATCCATCAATTTGGTCCCCTGAAAACATTCTCATCCTATTTGTCTTATTTGTCCAATCCTTGTTCTCTCTCTTTATGCTAGATAATAAAGTTGAATTTCTTTTGAAACATTTTTTTCATTTTGTCCTTCAGACTTGTTAAGTCTCTTCCTCTTACACTCACCTGTAGAGTCTAAGTGCGGAAGATTTAGTTTGTTGGGAGGACAGTTACTTAACTGAAAGTTCAGTAGACGGAGTTAAAAGTGGCTTCTCTAACAGGACTTAAAATGACTTTGGATGTTCATCATAAGCAGTGTGTAAGCCTTCAGTTATTTCTGTGCTCAACCATCAGTACTTCTTCTCCCCCACTGTAGTCTGCTATGTCAAAAAATTGCATCAAGCTTTTGTGTGAAGATCCCGTTTTTGCAGAATATATAAAATGTATCCTAATGGATGAAAGAACTTTTCTGAACAACAACATTGTGTACACATTCATGACACATTTTCTTCTAAAGGTATGTCCAACTTTGGAAACTCAATGTGTTACTTCCAATGTGTTAATGGTTGTGTTTTCATTATGTTGGTCTTCTGGAGATTTTTTTTAATCTTTTTTTTTTTTCAGGTTCAAGGTCAAGTGTTTTCTGAAGCAAACTGTGCCAATTTGATCAGCACCCTAATTACAAACTTGATAAATCAGTATCAGAACCTGCAATCTGATTTCACCAACCGAGTTGAAATTTCCAAAGCAAGTGCTTCTTTAAATGGGGTAAGAATTGGGGTGGCTGGCTCGCTCAGTCGGAGGAGAGTGCGACTCTTGATCTTGGGGTTGTGAGTTTCAGCCCCATGTTGGGTGTAGAATTGTTTACAAACGAAATCTTTAAAAAATAAATGGGATAAGAACTGTGGGAGGGAATAGTCCTGTACTTCAGTATTTTCCTTAAATCATCTCTAAATTTGGCTTTAGTATGATTTTTACTATCATAACTTTAACTTATTCAAACTCTGAAAATCACATATGATGAAAAACCAAATTCTTTAAAAATATGTGTTCTCTATGCCTTTGAAGTATGTAGTACACACTTTTGTATTACCTTGGAAGACATGAGCAAATGTCATTAAATGCTAAGGGCAGTAAGATCACCGAGAGGGAGATAGTGCCTTTATCTCTACTTGTTTACATTTTTTGAAAACATGTGATGTTTCTATCACAGCTTATATGGTTCATAAATAACTGAAACAATCAGATTAATGATCTACTGATTATAAAGCCAGTTAAAACAAGGGAATCCGTTGCCTTAAATAGAGGTCCATGATGGCTGGGTCATACAGTAATGGAATGCTAGCTAGCACCTGTCCAGCAGCATTTTACTGCTTCCCCAGTAACCACGTGTTGCTTAGATGCCAGAATAGATTACAGAGCTGAGCAAGAATGGCCTTACTATGAGACTTGCACCAGAAATCGGCGTATTTGAGGAACTATGATATCTAGATTGAGGCCTTAATTTCTCATGGATAATTCAGGGCTTATTTTTTAAATCCCTTTTTTTGCCTTTTCCATTTTCAGAAAACTATGTGAGTCTTCAGTCTGACCTAATTAGTGGCATGATAATAGAGTAATATCCTAATCCTGGCTCTCTAGTTTTAGCATTCTCTAAAAATGCCAGAGAAACCAGAATGGATTCCTGGGAAAGTAAACAACTGTGTCAAAATGTTAGCTTTAGAATTGTAAATGTTCCTCTCTGGGTTTTACAGGATCTGCGGGCACTTGCTTTGCTCCTGTCAGTACACACTCCCAAACAATTAAACCCAGCTCTAATTCCAACTCTGCAAGAGCTTTTAAGCAAATGCAGGACTTGTCTGCAGCAGAGAAACTCACTCCAAGAGCAAGAAGCCAAAGAAAGAAAAACTAAAGGTTAGCTTTCTGGACTAATATTAATTACTTTTAGGGTGGGAGAGGGGAAGAATACACTCGGTATAACTGACTTTACAATAGCTGTCTGTTCAGTTGGGTCTCCTACATATAATGCTAAAAAGAAAATCTCCTGCAAACACCCCCAGTGTGATCTTAATGACTCCTTTCAGAGAATGATGTTCATTTTCACAGATGATGAAGGGGCAACTCCTGTTAAAAGAAGGCGTGTTAGCAGTGATGAGGAGCACACTGTAGACAGCTGTATCAGCGACTTGAAAACAGAAACCAGGGAGGTCCTAACCCCAACTAGCACTTCAGACAATGAGACAAGAGACTCCTCAATCATTGATCCAGGAACTGAACAAGATCTTCCTTCCCCTGAAAATAGTTCTGTTAAAGAATATCGAATGGAAGTTCCATCTTCGTTTTCAGAAGACATGTCAAATATCAGGTCACAGCATGCAGAAGAACAGGCCAGTGATGGTAGATTTGAAGACTGTAAAGAATTTAAGGACCTCCACTGTTCCAAGGATTCTAACCTAGCTGAGGAAGAATCCGAGTTCCCTTCTACTTCTATCTCTGCAGTTCTCTCTGACTTAGCTGACTTGAGAAGCTGTGATGGCCAAGCTTTGCCCTCCCAGGACCCTGAGGCTGCTTTATCACTCAGTTGTGGCCATTCCAGAGGACTCTTTAGTCACATGCAGCAACACGACATTTTAGATACTCTGTGTAGGACCATTGAATCTACGATCCATGTGGTCACAAGGATATCTGGCAAAGGAAACCAAGCTGCTTCTTGACATTAGATGTAGCATGTCTACTTTTAAGGTCCCCTCTCCCCCCAATGCTGTTTGTATAAGTTTTGCTTATTTCTGTTTTTGTGCTTCAGTTTGTCCAGTGCTCTCTGCTTGAATGGCAAGATAGATTTATAGGCTTAATTCTTGGTCAGGCAGAACTCCAGATGAAAAAATTTGCATCTTCAGTATACTTTCTAAAGGGCAATCAGATAATGGATATGTTTTATGTAATTAATTAAGAGTTCACTGTAGTGGCTTTCATTTCATATGGCTGTCTGGGAGGAACAGGGTTCCCTGGCCCTGTACAATGTAATTTAAACTTACAGCATTTTTACTGTGTATAATATGGTGTCCTCTGTGCCAGTTTTGTACCTTATAATAGAGGCAGATCGCCTCCGATCGCTGTGGTTCTTATTATCAAAATTAAGTTTACTTGTATACGGAACAACCACAAGAAATTTGATTCTGTAAAGAATCCTCTTTAGCTGTGGCCTGGCAGTATATAAATGGTGCTTTATTTAACAGAATACCTGTGGAGGAAATAAAGCACACTTGATGTAAAAATAATTGTTTTATTTTTATTGACATGACTGATTGCTATTCTGTGCACTTAATTAAACGGATTGTGATGACTTTTCATTTGTTTACATTAGTCTTCTCAGATGAAAGTAATGAGAAAACTGTGAATGGGAGGGAAGCACTTCTCCATTATATTCTCTTCCATCATGGTAGTGGCGGCCCGAAAAGTCACTTACCCCAGAGCCTTTCAGGCCTCCGCCCGGAGTGCACATCTGCTGCGGGGAGCAGCCGCGTGACGTGGCCCAACGCACCTCACATCACATGCTTCTGAACGCGACATGCTGCTGCTTTGCTACCTAAGAGCTACAGACCTTAGAAACCCTGAAGTAAGATAAAGGAATAGTATCAACGTGCCATTTATTTTTTTGTCTGCCTGAACTAAAAGTACAGCTAAAGTAGCTTGCTAGGACAAGCTTTAGTGGGAAACAGCAACCACCTGTCCTCAGAGGCTCAGTCTCTTCCCAGAGGAGCAGCTATGGGAGGTAAGGTTAATACTGACTTTCCAGGTTGCTTGCTACTTTTAACCCAATGAGAGTCTAGTAGTAAAGATTCAAACAGTGCTTTGAATTCTGTATAAGCTCATGGATTTCACCCAGTATAAATTAAGAGTGTTTTCTTTTTTAAAAGGAGTAATGGGGAAGAGGTAAACTTGACACTTTTCCTGCTTACAAAAAGTAATACCCCATAAAAATCTTCTAATTCAACCATTTAGGGTTGGGTCAGCTGTAGTAAACCTTTTATTTCTTCAAAATGCTGCTTCTGCCAACAGAATTTCATGCTCTCTTCTTTACAGACAGGAACGCCTGTATAGTCTAACTGCAATTCAGTTTGCCCTGGAGTAGGCACAAAACTCAGTGCAACTGTTGCATAGTGTTCTGGAAAGAAAATAAGAAGCTTATTACTGCATTACAAAAAGGAAAACTGTCCATACAGTACTACTTTTTTTTTTACAGCGTGTCGGGGGCTGGAGCATGGGGGCAAGCCTGAGTGTTTCTAGACTCTTAGAACAAAGAATACTAGTAACATACCTTCTGGCCAGTTCCTACATCTCCATTTCATGATCTTTTTGTCAACTAAAAACAAAGGGGAAATTCCCTTAAGACAGCTTTTACAACTTCCAGCAATACAGGAAATCCCTGAGCACTAAAAGTACTGAACAACCAATGGTACAGTCCCATCTTCCAGGTCATACAGCGGCGCCACTGAAAATCCACTGTTCCTGCGTGCCAAAACGTCCTTAACAGCACCAGCCTCGAGGACAGAAGTGCAGTGACATTGGTAACCCCTACAGAACTGATGTCGGGGCTGAGGCAATGCAGATCCTAGTGATTTATGCTTTAGGTGGCCAAAATGTGAAACTTGTACAGCAGGAGTTAAGAATTCTACTTCCTTCTTCTAAAACCATAAGCATTAGCACAATTACTGTGCAAACTCAGTCTTCATCTTTATCATTACTTAGTATGTGTAACATTTATTTGTTCTACAACCAAGTATACTTAATAATGTTCTCAAAGCCAACTTTATAATGTTCTCCAGTTTCTGTGAGCCCAGATAAAAAACCAAAGCAAGTTTTTTTTAAAAAGCATGGATTTTAAAAAGCAATACTGGGGCGCCTGGCTGGCTCAGTGGGAAGAGCATGCGACTCCTGATCTTGAGGTCATGAGTTCAAGCCCTATGCTGGCTGTAGAAATTACTAAAATTAAAAAAAAAAAGCAGTATTAACAGAAGAGTCAGTCCCAGCTTACTTTTTAACCCTAAAGATCACTTACCAATTCTATATATTCACCGGTGATGTTCCCATCAAACATTAGGAATTTCCCTCCCTTTTCAGCTTCTAATACAGCAGGAGATTTAGAAAATTTTTGCACCAACTAACCAAGCAAAACACAGAGCAGACATGTTAGTCCAGTGTGCCCCATCACCTTTTTAACCTAAATGCAAAGTATTAACAATTAAGGTAGTTGGGTTTTTTTTTCCCCTTTCCTAATTCTGAATCTGTAGCTTTTACGTAGAGCTTTCTCTCCCTCTCCCTCAGAGGGAGAAAACTCAGTAATGTATCTCCTAAACGTGGATCTGTTTCCCCAAACTGCCCATCTTCTACCCCCTTGAATTTTTTAGAAGTTATCCTAAAGACTTCTATCACCACCATTCTAGATCGCTTCAGTTGTAAGAACATGGCCATATGGGAAATGAAAAACCAGCTCCCGTTCTTGGTGGCACATTGTCTCCCAGTGTCAGCACTGAAGATCCTAGCTTGGGAAGTTACTTACATCTTTCACAGTGAAGACGCTGTACAGTTGCTCTGTAGTGGCGTCGAAGAGTTCCGTCATGTGCAGTGCCATGGTGGGGATCCTTACCCCCAACCCCATTGGAGATGAAGCCTGCCTGGATCTCAAGAAGAGAAGAGGTTCCAAAGGCTAACTAACTAGCAAGCCAGGGATCAAGCTACTTAGATTTTAAAATTCAGTCTTCCCCTCTTAATAAAATACCAAAATGTCCCCAAATTTCACACTACCCTTTGCCAGACACATGGAAATAGCACGAAAAGCCTTTTAACACCACCAATCCTGGTTACTGTGAAACAGAGCTCATTGTTCCTATGAGCTCTTCGACTTTGTTCCACTCCCAGGTCATCGCTTAACGCCCCAAATCCTCCTTGGACGTGTACATAATGGCCCAGAGGGCATAAAGATGAAGGACAATAGCACTTAAGGCCAAAGGGTGTCAATTCCCCAACACCAGATGCCAAGGATGGGACCTAAAACCACCCAATCTGAAAGTCTGGAGAGGTTTTTCCATTGCGGTAGGTGAACCTCAAAGTTGCCTGGTTTTATAATCTGTTTCCTACCAAAGAACCCGCCTTTGGAACATGGTCTTGAACTAAATTCAATATTTATCCCACAAGAAGCCCTGTTTATATATTCCCTTCCATCAAGGATAGAAGTTTTATTTCATCATTTCCCCTCAAAATGGCAAGGGATGCAAAGATGGATGAACCGGCTGGCCTCACTAACCTTTACAGTTCATCATTTAGGGCTTTGAAGCATCCTCATTAAGCACTTCCTTTTCCCTCCCTACATACTGGCCCCAGAGGACATACCTGCAAGGTGTTCTCACTCAGTTTCCTTTCAACTGTCGGTTCCTGGGTTGCCATGGCTTTCGTTGGTAAAATCATTCCCACTGTAAATTCTAAAAAGAAACATACAGGAAGTGATTTAAAAAAAAAATTCTTTGAGCAGCACCAGTAAGGCAGAAAATCCAAACAGCTTACAAGAAAATAAGAGAATGGGTATTTATAAAGAATTCCTTTATCATTGAGAATTTCAAGGCCATAGCGTGTTTTTACATACAAAATTAATTCATGAACATGAGTTCTATAGCAACAAATGCCTTTTCTTTTTTCAAATGCTTCACTTTTATTTAGTTCTTGATAAAAGAGTGGTATTTTCAAATTGTTTTCCAAAAAGCTCAATTTTATAAAACAACTACTAGCTTTATGACCTTCACCTACTGTTAAATCCAGACACTTAATTGCTTCACCACCACCTCACAAAGCTTGGCCTTCCAGTATTCAAGCCTGTGGGCCAGGCAACACCTAGATACTCCAGTAACAGAGTCCAAGGATGAGGTGCAGACATTCAGGCCCCACTGGTCATTTTGCCTGGCAGGTGACTAATTTAGGGAAGAAGACAATAACCTCACTTCTACGCAGGGTAGATACGATCTAGGTAAATCTCAACTCTATCTGCAATATCTTTCATTCCTTCATTCCTTCATTCAACAAAGATTTATTCATAAGCACCTACTATGTGCCAGGCATTGTGCCAGAAGCTGGAGCTATAGCAGTGAACAAGACACACACCTTCCATGCCCCCTTAGAGCTTACACTCTAGGAGCGAAGATAAACCTTGAACAAGTAAATTACACAAACAACTGAATAAAGTATCGTTCCAGAAAACTCTTAGTAATTCCATAGGCAAAATAGTTTGCGATGTGTACAATACCAATAGTCACTAATTGTGGTCTTACTCATGACTAGCTCTCAACCTTCAGATTACAATTTATCCTGCAGCATAAAAAGCTGTTTCTGAAGCCTTAACAGACATCACCCTAACCTGGGAATCCAGACCATAGTACAGAGCATAACTTGCGTAAATAGAAAAGGGACCCTCTGGTTCACAAGGGTTGCCTTCTTTACCCGTCTTAAGTGCCTTCAGGTAATCTCCAAGGGCCTCCCTGACCTTGGCGGTGCCTGCAGTTTTCGTAAGATCCTTCAGTATATCCACACCTTTTTACTCACATTCACCTACAAATCAGAAAAATACAAACCCTAAGAAAATCTGGTTTGATGTACTCTCACAACATCAGAACACATGGCTGGGAGAAGCGCTATGATGCTGGGGGAGGGGGAAGAAGTGGATATAAGAGAGATGCACCAGGTTTCTTCACAGACTTTGAGAAGCTGTAAGGGTTTTTTAATCACAGGTCCATTGACTGGGTTGGTGGCCAAATCTGGAGTGGACTTCTTAGAAATGTGAACCCCTTAATTTGCCTATAAAATGTTATGTGTATATGTGTATGTATTATATTGATGATATAGTCACCCCATGGCTTTTATCAGGGTCTAGAAATGCGCTGTCCAGTATGGTAGCCACTAGCCACATTTGGCTATTGAGCACTTGAAATGTGGCTGGTCTGATCTGAGATGTGCTAGAAGTGTAAAATAATACACAACAGACTCTGAAGAATTAATACAAAAAGAGAATGTAAAATAATCTCTAATTTTGATACTAATTACATGTTAAAATGGTATTTTTATATATTTGGTTAAATAAAAGTATTAAAATTAATTTCACCTGTTTCTTTAACTTTTTTAATACGGCTACTAGAAAAATTTAAATTCCATTATGTGGCTTGTATTGTATTTCTATTGAACAGCGCTGGTCTAGAACCCCAAAGCCAGTGTAATTAGGAAAATCAAGTTCCATAATAACGTGGCCTTGGGCTACACTTTGTTGATGCGGAGGAAAATTGGGAAAGGAAGAAAGAAAGAAGGAGGGGAGAAGGGGGCAGACAGGAAGAGGGAAGCATCCGAATGCCGCTCTGGCTCTTGAGAATGTGTCTGTGGTAGTCTCAGAATGAAAAGAGGTGTTGGTTTGAAATATTTAGTGTTCCTATGATTCACTTGAGCTGGGCCTGGTCCCAGGTCATGGGTCCCAGTATGTCCTGTAATGCCACCAAGGGTTGAATCTAAAAGGCCGGTTTAATATGCTGATGAAAAACTTTTCAGCTGGATCTGAATATAGTGAAGTGAAATCACAGCCCTTAAATATGGCAACCACACGTCTAAAGATGGGTCTGACACAGCCCCACTTTTATGGCATTTGATAACCTTTACTAAAGGCCAGTCATAGGCAAGTAGCTCAGTATGGTTTAGTTTTTCTCTCTTTGTTAAGAATTCACATTTAAGTAGGTTCACAAATCAAAAAGACCCTCTATCATACTATCTTAGTTTGGAAAATCGACAAATGGTACAAATGGTCCCCACCCCCACCCCCGCCCCCTACCCCCAACCAAGTTTTTCAGCTTCAAGAGGGCAATCCCTGAAAACAAAGTCTGGGAGCTCCACAAAGCTCCACCTCTCAGGAGAGCTAGGAGAGCCAGTTAAAAGCAATGGGCAACTAACTAGTTTACCAAAAACCATGCAATATAACTGAAAGAGAGGACAGCTAAAAGCGGAGAATTTTCACCACTAAAGGGAAACAGCAAAGATGCAGCAACAGGACGCCTGGGTGGCTCAGTGGTTAAGTGTCTGCCTTCGGCTCAGGTCATGATCTCAGGGTCCTGCTCAGCGGGAAGCCTGCTTCTCCCTCTCCCACTCCCCCTGCTTGTGTTCCCTCTCTCACGGTCTCTGTCAAATAAATAAAATCTTTAAAAAAAAAAAAAGGCAGAAACAAAACCCCATTCACCCACCTGGGCATCTGCCTGAGCACGCTCCAGTCTGTACACGGTCACATCTACCTGCTACCAGCCCGGAGTCATAGATGAACCTGCGCAGGCACCACACCTGGGATGAGGGGCAGTCTAGGGCTTCTAGGCCTTGCTCTTCTTCCTCCACCGCTCCGTTCCACACCCCACACTGCCTCCCACAGTACAGCACACCTTTTTGGCAAACAAACCCTACACAATTCACCAAAACTACCACAAAGGAATCATAGAGTCTATTAACGGTTTTTCAAATGCCCAATATTATACAGCATAAGCTTGGGAGGATACAAAAGAAACTAGCAGATACCTCACCTCAGTGTCATCTACTTCATTTTCTTCAGAAAGGTTGAGTATTTCAATCAATCCCTTGTGCTTTGCGCCAGATTCTTTAATTACACCTAAAATGAACAAAATACGTTCTTCAATCACAAAGTAACAACTGGTTTATGCAAAACTGCCCACCCCCCCTCACAGGGTGCCACCACAGAGGATGACAAGGCAGGCTCAAGGCTTTGCCACCACACAGGTAGTTCTCCTAGCCCCCAACAGAGGTAAGCGAACAAAGAAGGTGGAGGTAAAACCTGGCCAATGAGAGTGCACACAAAACTAGGGGCTGGGTGGAAGGATGAGGTCGGAGGAAGTGGGCCTTTAACCAATGCTTTTGTTTTCCTCCCCCAATATTCTTTACCAGGTCAAATCAGGATAAAGGGCTGTCTTGACGAGGAGTCACATAAAGGATGGAGGCCAGAAAGGGGCAGTGAGGTCTAATCAGGGAAAGCATGAGGGGAGACAGGTGATGGCTTGGGGAAGTTGTGCATGGACTCCACGTAGCTGGATTTCTTTCAATACCAAAGTGCTGATTTCAGGGACATCAAGATGGCAACATAGGTTATTCCTGACTTCGGGTCCCCTCACAAGACCAACTAGCAGGTATCCATAGAGGAGACACCACTGTGAAAATACCAGAGTGCACCCTTATGGACCAGAGACAAAGGGCCAAATGAGAAGGGTAGGAGAAGTGATAAAAACTGACCAAATCACCCCTCCCTCTTGCCAGCACAGAGCTGTGGTTTCTTCAGGTGGAAAAACATCCAGGTCCCCTAGCATTGGGGGATGCTTCCTAGAAGGCCCATCTGGGTCTCAGCTCCCAGGAACCACTGGGAATCAGACAGACAGAAGCAGGGCAGGACTTGAAATAACCAACACTCAAATCTTGTTGGAACGTGTTCCTACTACAGCAGAGCATGAGCAAAGATCCTGGCCAGTGACTCTGCCCTTCTGCAGAGCTGAGCTGGCAGCCCTATGTGGCTAGGGAGCTCAGCTGGTGATTATGCCTGATTAGGGTCCCTGGTCAATGGACTGAAACCAGCTGTGGAGCCCATTCTACCGCCCCCACCCAGGCAAGGAAGCAAATCTGCAGCCCCACTCAACTGCTGGTGGAGCCTCCCATCATCCGGACCATACAGGAAGCCTGACCAGAGAATCTGGGCAGCCACTGAGCCCATCCTCCAGCCCTACTTGGGCAGGAAGCCAAACAGCCCTGCCCAATTGTTGAGCACAGTCTCTGGTCCCACAGAACGAGGGAGCCCAAACAGTAACCCTAAGCAGCCTTGAAAAGCCCAGCCTACAGACCTGCCCAAATGCTAGACACAGCTTCTGGCTTTGTCCAGACAGTGACCCCACCCAAACACAGAGCGTAGTCCCTAGCCCCAACAAACTGTGGGATACAGCTGGAGGCCCATCCCCACCAGAGAGCCTGGCCAGCAATGTTGCTCAACAGCAGAGCATAGCCAGTGGCTCCTTGATCTCGAAGCCTGCAGACCTATCTAACTTCAAGGCACAGTCTGATCACAGAGCACAGCCTGAGGCCAGGTCCAATCATGAAGCCCTGCCTGTGGCCCCACCCGAACAGAGTCTAGCCAGCAGAACCATCTGGTCCGGGAGCACAGCCTGAGACCGCATCCAACCAGGAGCAATGGTGGAGACCCACCCATTGCCTTGCCCAATCATAGAGTCCAAACAGTAGCACTGCCCTTCCAGGGAACACATCCAGGGACCACCCCCTGACCAGAGGTAACTGCAAGGCCCATATAGAGGCCCCATGTGACCATGGAGCACAGCGAGCAGCTACACCCCATCGGGGAGTATGCCCAGCAATCCTGCTTGAACACAGAGCCCAAGGAGCAGACCCCGCTTGAACACAGGAGCCCAGCCAGGAGAGCCCCGACCTCCAACCCTGACCACAGTATGAGCAGTGGCCCCACTCAACTAGAGATCCCAACAGCATGCTCTGCCCACCACAAATGCTACTAGATGACCCACCAAGTGACCCAAATTAAGCTGAATGGTGAAGGTCTTTTCCTACTGAAGCAAACCTATAAATTCTGGAAAAGGAAATCACTTACATATGCAGATACCAAAACAAGGAATTAAGGCTCATGAAGAATCAGGTAAACATGACACCACCAAAGGAAACTAATAAAGCTCCAATAACAGATCCTAAAGAAATAGAGATCCACGAACTATGTGACCAGTAATTAAGAATAAATCTCTTAAAGAAGTTTAGTGAATTATAAGAACACATAGACAAACAAAATTAGGAGAAACTGCAGAACAAAATGAGAAATTCAACAAAGAAACAGAAACCACAAAGAAACACAACAGAAAACCTGGAGCTGAATACAATGACTGAACTGAAGAATTACACAGAAAGCTTCAACAGCTAAACTGACCAAGCAGAAGAAAGAATTACTGAACTAGATGTTATTTGAAATTAGCATCATAAAAATATATGAATGTGTAAAACCCACTGGTAATGGTAAATACACAAAGTCCTAGATCATCTAATATTGCAATGGTGTTGCATAATTCACTTACAACTCTACTTTAAAAGTTAAAACATACTAAAAATAACCATAAATACAATAATTTGTTACTAGATACACAATATGAAAATATGCAAATTGTAATATCAATAACCTAAAATCTGAGGAGGGAAGAAGTATAAATTTCTGTATGCTACCAAAGTTGTTAATAGTTTAAATAGCATGTTATAAATATATTCCATGTAAGCCTCAGGGTAACCACCTGAGGAAAACTGTAGTAGGTACGCAAAAGATTATGATAAAGGAGTCAAAGCATACCACCACGAAAAGGCATCAGACCATCAAGATAAGAGAGGAAGCAAGGAACGCAGGATCTACAAAACAGTGAGAAAACAATTAACAAAATGGCAAATGTAAGTTCTTACCCATCAATAATTACTGTAAACATAAATGGATTACATTCTCCAAAAGACACAGAATGGCTGAATGGATTAAAATAGGAAAAAAACAAAAAACAAAAAACAAGATCCAACAATATGCTGCCTATAATACAGAGACTCACTTTAGCTTTAAAAGGATACACATAAACTGAGAGTGAAGGGATGAAAAAGATATTTCAAGCAAATGGTAACCAAAAAAAAAAAAAAAAGCAGGAGTAGCTATACTTGTATTAGACAAAATACTAATAAAAAATGGTCAAAAAAAAAAAAACTAAGGAAGGTTATTATGGGCGCCTGGGTGGCTCAGTTGGTTAAGCGACTGCCTTCGGCTCAGGTCATGATCCTGGAGTCCCGGGATCGAGTCCCGCATCAGGCTCCCTGCTCAGCGGGGAGTCTGCTTCTCCCTCTGACCCTGCCCCCTCTCATGTGCTCTCTCTCATTCTCTCTCTCAAATAAATAAAATCTTTAAAAAAAAAAAAGGTTATTATATAATGCTGAAGGGATTGACTCATCAGGAAGATATAGCAATTGTAAATATTTATGTACCCAACACTGAAGCACCTAAATATGTAAAGGAAATACTAACAGAACAAAAAGGAGAAATAAGCAGCAATACAATAGTTGGGAACTCTAATACCCCCGATCAACAATGGATTATCCAGACAAAAAAATCAGTAAGGAACAGCAGATTTAAACATTATAGAGCAAATGGACTTCACAGGCATATATAAAATAGTCCATTAAACAGCAACAGAATACACATTCTTCTCAAGGATCCATGGAATATCTTCTAAGATAAATCATGTTAGGACACAAAACATGTCTCAACAAATTCAAAAATACAGAAATTATAATATCTTTTCAAATCATAATGGTATGAAACTAGAAATCAGTAACAGGAGGAAAGCTGGAAAACTCACAAATACATGGAAATAAACAAACATTCCTGAACAACAAATAGCTCAGAGAAATCAAAAGGGGAATTTTAAAAATACCTTGAGACAAATGAAAATAGAAACACAACACACCAAAACCTACAGGATGCAGCAAAAGCAGTTCTAAGCAGGAAGTTTGTAGTAATGAGCACATACATCGAGGAAAAAAAAAAGGATTTCAAATAAAGAACCTAACTTTATGTCTCAAAGAGTTAGAAAAAAAACCAAACTAAGCCCAAAGTTAGCATCTATAGATTCAATACAGTCCTTCTCAAAATGCCAATAGAATTTTTCACAGAAACAGAACAATCTAAAATTTGCATGAAACCACAAAACACCCCCAACAGCCAAAGCAATCCCGAGAAAGAACAACAAAGCTGGAGGCATCACAATTCCTGATCTCAAACTTTACTACAAAGTTACAGTGATCAAAACAGTATGGTATGGACATAAAAACAGACACAGAGACCAATGGAATGGAATCAAGAGCCCAGAAATAAACCCATACATATATGATCAACTAATATTTGACAAGGGAGGCAAAAATACTCAGTGGGTAAAAGGTAGTCTCTTCGTTAAATGGTACTGGGAAAACTTAATATTCACATGCAAAACAATGAAACTGGACCCCTATCTTCTATCACTTATAAAAATTAACTTAATGTGGATTAAAGATCTGAAACCATAAAACTAGGAGGAGGAGAAAAGCTCCCTGACACTGGTCTTGGCAATAATTTTTGGATGGGACACCAAAAGCACAAGCAACAAGAGCAAAACATCAAACTAAAAAGCTCCTGCAGGCAAAACAATCACTCAACAAAAGGAAAGGGCGACCTACAGAATGGGAGAAAATATTTGCAAACCTTATCTGCTAAGAAGTTAATATCCAAAATATATAAGGAACTCATAAAACTTGACAGCAAAAAAACCCCAAATAATCCCATTAAAAATGGGCAAACGACCTAAATAGACATTGATGCAAAGGAGATATTCAGATGGATGACAGGTACATGAAAAGATGCTCAACGTCACTAAGTGTCAGGGAAATCAAAGTCACAGTGACGTATCACCCCACACCTGCTGGAATGGCTAGATCAAAAAGAGACAACAGGTGTTGGCGAGGATGTGGAGAACAGGGAACCCTCATGCACTGTTTGGCAGGAATGCGAACCGGTGCAGCCACTGTGGAAAACTTTGTGGAGTTCCTCAAAAATTAAAAGAAAAACTACCATATGATTCAGCAATCCCACTTCTGGGTATTTATCCAAAGTTAATAAAATCACCATCTCAAAGAGACATCTGCACCCTCATGTTCACTGCAGCATTGTTTACAGTTGTCAAGACATGGAAACAACCTACGTGTCCACTGACGGATAAACAATGTAGTAGATACACACACACACACACACACACACACACACACAAGTATAGTATTCGGCCATACAAAAGAAGGAAATCCCACCATTTGGGACAAGATGGATGGACCTTGAGGGCATTATGCTAAGTGAAATAAGTCAGACAAAGCCAAAAATTATATGATCTCATTTGTATGTGGAATCTAGAAAAACCAAACTCCTAGAGACAGAGCAGATTGGTGGTTGCAGGGAGCCAGTGATGTGGAAGGTGGTCAGAGGACACAAAGGTACAAACTTCCAGTTACAAGAGTAAGTTCGGAGGATGTCATGTACGGCCTGATGACTACAGTTAACAACACTGTCCTGTATATTTGAAAGTTGCTAAGAAAGTAAATCTGAAAAGTTCTCCACATACACAGAAAACTGTACTATATGAAGTGAGGGATGTGTTAAATAACCTTACTATGGTAATCATTTCCTATATATATATAGGAAATATATATATATAAAATCATCCTTAACCTTATACAATGTTCTAAATCAATTGTGTCTCAATAAAGGTGGGGGAAAATTAAAATAAAATTTATTAAAAAAAGAAGGAAAAAAACAAAACCAGAATGTTGACTCTTCTCCAGAGGGCCCACTTGCCTCTTCTGGGACTCACTGCCAGAGGAGAAAGCCCAAGTGGTCAGGGCAGGCCCCATTCAGCCTGCCCTCTAGCTGCTGTCTTGGATAGCTCGGTCTTACCTTCCAAAGGAGGTTGCAGCTGCTTTGAGGTGAGGGAGACCATGAACTTCCCTGGGACCCTCAGAGCCCAGTCCTGGGGGTGGCGTGGGGTAGAAGGTTCCAGACCCTGCTATGATCCAGCCAGCTGCAGACAATGAGGGAGCAAATGAGAGCAAACCCCTAGCCAGAAGTTTCCAAGGCAGAAGTGGACTTTTTTTGATGCTTCCTGAGCACCTCCCTGAGCCCAAGCCTGGCTCGAGCAAAGCGGCCAACAGGGTGGAGGCCCACAGCCAGCTTACTGTGGGACTCTCTGACCCAACTCTTAAGAAAGGAGTAGACTCCTGAGCAGAGGCCCAAACTTTAACAATCTTCTAGAATTAGCTCTCTCCCTCTCTCTTCTTCCTTTTCACCTTTCTCTTCACATCCATGATTATTTCAACAAGTATTCACTGAGCACAGAATGTTGACCAGCCGGTAACTAGGCATCACAGGAGAAACTTACTCTTTCAACAAGCACAAAACATTCCAGACACTAATCTGGACCTGACCAAATGACCTACAGAATGAAAACAACACAAATGTCCATCAACTGATGAACAGATAAACAAAACGTGCTCTATCTGTACAACAGAATATCATTCAACCATAAAAGGATAGGAACATGCTACCACATGGATGAACCTTGAAAACATTACGCTAAGTGAGAGGAGCCAGTCCTCTAAATGTGCGACCTCAAACATAAAAATCCTAGAAGAGCATAGGCAGTAATTTCTCTGACATCAGCCACACATCGTAGTAACATTTTTCTAGATCTGTCTCCTGAGGCAAGGGAAATAAAAGCAAAAATAAACTATTAGAACTACATCAAAATAGGGGTAACTGGGTGGCTCAGTCAGTTAAGGGTCTGACTCTTGATTTCGGCTCAGGTCATGATCTCAGGTCACGGGATCCAGCCCGGCCTCGGGCTCTGCGCTGGGTGTGGAGCCCACTCAGGAATGTCTCTCTTGGATTCCTTCTGCCCCTCCCCAACTCCATGTGCTCAAAAAAAAAAGGACTACATCAATATAAAAAGCCTCCAGGGCGCCTGGGTGGCTCGGTTGGTTAAGCGACTGCCTTCGGCTCAGGTCATGATCCCGGGGTCCTGGGATCGAGTCCCACATCAGGCTCCTCCTGCTCTGTGGGAAGCCTGCTTCTCCCTCTGCCTGCCACTCCCCCTGCTTGTGCTCTATCAAATAAATAAATAAAATCTTGAAAAAAAAAAAAAAAGCTTCTGCACAGAAAAGGAAATAATCAACAAAACTAAAAGGCAACCTACTAACTGGGAGAAGATATTTGCAAATGCCATCTCTGATAAAGGGTTAGTATACAAAATATATAAAGAACTTATACTGGGGCGCCTGGCTGGCTCAGTCGGTAGAGCCTGTGACTTCTGATCTTGGGATTGTGAGTTTGAGTCCCATGTTGGGTTTACAGCTTACTTAAAAAAGTAAGTAAAAAAAAAAAAAAAAAGAACTGATACAACTCAACACCAAAAAAATAAATAATCCAATTAAAAATGGGTAGAAAGGGCGCCTGGGTGGCTCAGTTGGTTGAGCGACTGCCTTCGGCTCAGGTCATGATCCTGGAGTCCCGGGATCGAGTCCCGCATCGGGCTCCCTACTCAGCGGGGAGTCTGCTTCTCCCTCTGACCCTCCTCCCTCTCGTGCTGTCTCTCATTCTCTCTGTCTCAAATAAATAAATAAAAAATAAAATCTTTAAAAAAAAAAAAAAAGGATAGAAGACAGGGGTGCCTGGGTGGCTCAGTTGGTTAAGCATCTGACTTCAGCTCAGGTCCTGATCTCAGGGTCCTGGGATTGAACCCCATGTCGGGCTCTGCTCAGTGGGGAGTCTGCTTGTCCCTCTCCCTTGGCCCCTCCCCCTGCTTGTGCGTGCTCTCTAATAAATAAAATCTTTTTAAAAATTTAATTATTTTAAAAAATGGGCAGAAGACATGGACAGACATTTCTCCAAAGACGACACAGAGATGGCCAACACAAATGAAAAGATGCTCAACATCACTTACCATCAGGGAAACAAATCAAAACTACAATGAGATATCACCTCACACCTATCAAAATGGCTAAAATAAAAAACACAAGAAACAACAGCTGTTGGTGAGGATGTGGAGAAATGGGAACCCTCTTGCACTGTTGGTGGGAATGCAAGCTGGTGCAGCAACTGTGGAAGACAGTACAGAGGTTCCTCAACAAATTAAAAATAGAACCACCTTAGGATCCAGTAATCACACTACTGGCTATTTACCGCCCCCCAAAAAAGAAAACGCTAATTCAGAAGGATATATGCACCCCTATGGTTATTGCAACATTATTTACAATAGCCAAACTACGGAAGCAGCCCAAGTGCCCACTGATAGATGAATGGATAAAAAAGATGTTGCACATATAGAATGGAGTATTACTCAGCCATAAAAAAAGAATTAAATTTTGCCATTTTCACTGACACGGCCAAAGCTAGAGAATATAATGCTAAGCTAAATGAATCAGAGAAAGACAAATACCATATGATCTCACTTATATGTGGAATTTAAGAAACAAAACAAATGAACAAAGGGGAAAAAAAGGAGAGAAGCCAAAAAAAAAGGCGGCTCTTGGGGCACCTGGGTGGCTCAGTCGTTAAGCGTCTGCCTTCAGCTCAGGTCATGATCCCAGGGTCCTTCCTGCTCCGCGGGAAGCCTGCTTCTCCCTTTCCCACTCCCCCTGCTGTGTTCCCGCTCTCACTGTCTCTCTCTCTCTGTAAAATACATAAATAAAATCTTAAAAAAAAAAAAAAGACTCTTTTAACTCCAGAGAACTAATGGTTACCATAAGGGAGGTGGGTGGGAGGGATGGATGAAACAGGTGAAGGGGATTAAAGAGTACTCTTATCATGATGAGCACCGGGTGACGTATGGAATTGTTGAATCACAGTATTGTACACCTGAAACTAATTTAACACTTACGTTAACTAGACTGGAATTAAAATTTTTAAAAAAGGAGCCAGTCACAAAAGACCACATACTCTATGATTCCATTTATATGAAACGCCCAGAATAGGCAAATCCATCTATAGAGATAGATGATAGGAAATAGGCAAATCCATCCACAGAAATAGAAAACAGATTAGTGGTTGCCAAAGACTGTGGAGTGACTGCTACTGGGTACAGGGTTTTGTGAGTGGTGAAAATGTTCTGAAACGGACTGTAGTGGGAGCTGCACAACTCTGTGAGCGCACTGAAAACCACTGACCTGTATACTTCAAACAGGTGAGCTGTATGGTATGTGAATTAGATCTCAATAAACCTGTGTTTAAAAAAAAAAATCATCCCTGCCCTGATGAATGGGGTTGGGAAGGGAACCAGAATAGTAATATATTTAAGTAACCATATAAAGATACCAAATATCAGTGCTTTGGGGGAAAAGAAAGCAGGAAGAGAGACAGTTCAAAGAAGGGACCTTCAATTTTTAGAGGATAGAGACAGGTGGCTTCACTCAGGACAAAGAGCAGAAGGACCCAGAAGAGTCAGCAGGCAGCTGTCTAGGGAAAGAGTGCTCCGGCAGCTCCAGAAAACTCTAGGGCTCACAAGTGCCTGGCAGACAAGAGTGCTGCTAAAATCAAAGGGCTCTAAGCAATGAGTGCTGGGAGAAAGGGAAGCCCCTGGGCTTGCTAGACAAGGCACTCTACATGACAGAAGGATGTCTGGAACTACACACACCAAATCCAGGGGCTAGTGAGTGCTAGGCCCCATCAGGAGTTCTAAAAATATCTACTGAAGGAATGAATACTACACCAGCTGACTCTGCCCCAAGGCTGCCTCCAGCTCCTAGCTGTGCCCTGAGCGCCCCGTTACCTTTCCAGCTCAGCCTGATGTTCCACTCATAGAAGAAAATCAGCTTTCCTTTGTGGCTGCTGCAAGAAGCCTCACCTTCCACCTGCTTCAGCTCACTGATCTCAACGCGGCCAGCCTCGTTCTCCACGACGATGCCCACCAGGAGGTCACGGAGCTTCCCCTTGGACCAGCGGGTAGCATCCCGCTCTGTCCTGCCAGGGACCAGAAGGGCAGAGCCGTGAGTGGAGGCCCCAGCTAGTAGCCGCATGCCCAGTCTGGGGCGTGGGGGTAATGCCCGGACCAGCCCAGATCAGCCCACTGCCTCTCAGGCAGCCCTAAGAGCCCTGCCACCCTCAAAGTTCAACCAGATTTCTACCAGATATCTTTTAATATTCCTGCTCAGTTCCTTAAGATATTATTATCCACTATGTAGTGTTTTGTCTTAAAAACACTGGCTTGGGGGCGCCTGGGTGGCTCAGTTGGTTAAGCGACTGCCTTCGGCTCAGGTCATGATCGTGGAGTCCCGGGATCGAGTCCCGCATCGGGCTCCCTGCTCAGCGGGGCGTCTGCTTCTCCCTCTGACCCTCCTCCCTCTCATGCTCTCTGTCTCTCATTCTCTCTCTCTCAAATAAATAAATAAAATCTTTAAAAAACAAAAAAAAAAAAACACTGGCTTATTCTGGGGGAAAGGGGGCCTAGCAATCCCACCCACTGGAAAATGGATGGGCAAAGCCTGGGCCGTACAAAAAGTTTTAATTTTAATCAAAACAAGACACATTATCAAGTGCATATATTATCTCATGCAATCTTCCCAAATAAATGTTCCCATTTTAGCGAGTGGAAATGAGGTGAGAGAAGCCCCTGATGTGTCCGCGGCGACAATGCCGGGGAAAGGAGAGGCCAGGGCTCCCTCAACAAGCCGCCCCCAGGCTGACGGCTTTACTCTGCCCCGGACCCGCCCCAACTTCGGCTTGACGGCCTTGAGGCACCACAGTGTACCCTCAGTGATGCTGCATCACTTCCTGAAACTGTGCGGGAGCGAGGGAGGCAGAAATCGCCCACGTTCCACATGCCACACAAAAACGATGTGCAACGGTTCAAACTCCTAGAAGGAAGGCAGGGCTCACCCGAGGCCCATCGTGTTGAGATCCAAATTCACTACATACAGACCGACACACACACACTACTAGCTCCTTTTAACTTCCAGAAACATCAAGGGGGGGGAGGGGAGCTCTTAAGGTCACAGACTGTCAAAGTTGAAGAGGCCAGGCAGATACCATTCATGGGGCCCAGACCAACTTTCAATAGGAGGAAACTGAAGTCCCACAGCCAATGCAGATAAGCCCCCCCACCCCCACCCCCGGTCTCCAGACTCCGCTGAGGCTAATCACAGCCGCTCTTTGAGCCGCTGGTGGAGGAGGGAATCCTCTGCACCTGTGCAGGCCCCGCCCCACAGAGGGAGCGCCGGAGAGGCCGGGCCACCGCACCCCGCAGCACACGGGGAGCCGGCTGCTCGCAGAGGGGCCCCACCGTTCCGCCCAACGCTCGGGAGGGAGGAGGCCCGAAAGCCCCGGCCCCCGCCCGGCCGCACCCGTGCCAGTTGTTCACGTTGGTCCCGTCCTCCCGCTCTTCCACGATCCAGCGCGGATCCCCCTGGCCCCACTTGGCCATGTCTGCGCTGGCGGCGCGGCCTCGGCTGACGGCAAGGAAGGGCCGCGACGCGGGCTGCAGTGCGGCTCCGTAGCGACGTTTCCGGCCTCCGAGCCTGGGATCGCAGGCGCCCAGAAAGTGCCAGAAAACCCCGCCCCCCGCGCCGCCCCGCGCCGCCCCGCCCCGCTGCGGGGCGCGGAAGGAGCGGGAGCCGGACCAGGGCTCCGAGAGGCAGGGTCGCGGGGGGAGGGGGCCGGAGAGGCCGGGAGGCCGCAAAGGTCGGCGCGGGGCTGCGGGATCCGGCAGGCGGGCCTGACGGGGGGAAAGGCGTCCGAGACGCGCGGCTGGGGAGGGGCGCAATCCGGGAGTCCGGGCCTGCGGCGGGACTCGCAAGTGCAGGGGTCACGAAGGGGGAGCCTCGGCCGCCTGCGAAAGACGCGGATGCCGTTTAAGGATTCATTATTCTCACTGCAGTGGCCATTTTCAGTGCTAGCCAGCGGGACGGTGAATAAGCGACGCCTGAGGGCGGTATTGGAGATGCAGCTGGCGGGCTGTCGGCGGCCGCGCTAACTGTGCTCGGCGAACCTGGCGCTGGAGCATGCGCCGCAAGCTCTGGGTCGCGCGGTTTGCTGTGCGCCCGGCTCCGGGTCCGAGCGTGCCCATGGTGCGCTGCGGTCTGCGCTGTGCGCGCTCTCTTCATACCGTACTCCTGTTCCGTTCCTGCAGAGCTGGTTCACGCTGGTTCTCACGCCTTTCGAGCACCTGTGCAAGTAGCACGAGCTACCAAGTTCTAAGTTACTTCAGGGAGGTTTACGTTTTGTTCACGTAATAATCCTTCATGGATGACCAAAGAATGTGATTGCAAGTGCATATTATTGCAGCTTAACGCAATTTTTCAATCATTCACGAATTTTCACCGTCCCGCAAAAACTGCACCAACTATAAGGGAAATGATGGAGGTGTCTATGAATATTTAGCAGGGAAAACGGATAATGACAATGAATTGTGGAAGTACCTGACTCGTCCCTTCCCCTGTGGTGGTCTCTCCTTTGCCTGTGGACTGTGCTCATCACATTCACTGGTGGGAAACATTTCCTCCATCTGCTTATTGGAGCTACTACATTCCAACATCATCTTCCAAAAAGCCGCTTTTATGTAGTATGTAGTGTTTGATCCCCAACAAAGTGTTCAGAGTGTTTTGATCCCCCCCCCAAAAAAATTTTTTTGATTTCACCTTTCATAGCCTTACTTCACCAAAGGCATGGACACAAACACAAGGTATCAAATAGAAAAGAACAGCAATGGCAGTAGTAAATGGGCACCATTTTCTTGTGGATTCACTGTTCCATCTTTTATCCAATTCATAGAGGGGTGCCTGGCTGGCTCAGTCAGTAGAGCATGTCATTCTTGATCTCAGGGTCCTGTGCTTGAGGCCCACATTGGGGGTAGAGATTGCATACAGAGTATTACTAATAGAACATTACATGGTAAGATTTAGATATATATAAGTGTAACCTGGGGGAAAATAAGACATCAGAAAATATACAAAGGCAGAAGCTATAATCACTAAAATTTTATGTGAACAAAAATATTTTGTAATATTTACACAAAAATTTATCCTAATGGAAATAATCTTATTACAGTGCAAATGGGAAAAGGCATTCTATGTAATTGATCAAGAATTAAATTGGCCTAAAAGAAATTGCTCCAAAAAGTAATTTCACAAAGAAAATCTTCAGAATTAATGTAATTATTATTAAAATATTTGAGCAGGGAGCCTGATGAGGGGCTCAATCCCAGAACCCGGGGTCATGACCTGAGCTGAGGGCGGACACTTAACAGACTGAGCCACTCAGGTGCCCATTAGAAAAGTCATTCTTAAGAAACTTTGAACAATTGACAGGCGTGGATAAAAACTGGGGGGAGGGAGATTTTTCAAGGTGGAAAGGAGGCCACAGATAGGTATTTGGAAGTGGAATCGTTAAGCAGGAGGGGTATTGGAGTGTAGCAGGGGAAGTGTTTTTCAGTGGCTGGGACTTTCAGCTTGGTTAGTCAACATCACCCTGAAAAACTAGAATGAAAAGGGGCTAGGAGAGGGGTTTATGTTATGACTCCGGAGATCAGCATTCAAGGGACAGGCAGAAGGCATTTCATCATGGAAGCCAAGGCCCATAATAGAGGCAGTGGCTGGCAGTGTTAGATATTGAAAAGTGCAGGTAGGAAAGAAGTTGTTTTCTCGATTTGACAAGAGGGTCCATGGGCCCTTTGCAGAGAGCAGTTTCAGTGAATGATGGGGGCAGAAGCCAGGTCACTGTTGACAGAGGAGTGAATGGGAGGTGAGAAGACAGAGGGCGTGCTCTCAAAATGTCTGACAACGGTAAGTAAGAGAAATGGAGAGTAGTTAGATGGGGATGTGGGATGAAGGGAGGTTTTGCCTTTTCCCTTTAAATGTTTTCATATGCTGATGGGGACTAGCTGGTGAGAAAAAGGTCTCTGTCCAGGTCGTGGGGCAAAGCCCAGAAGCAAGGGGAAGAGAGGAGTCCAAAGGTCAACCTGGGATTGGAAGACCCAGGAGAAAGGATTAGGATGAATGTTTCTATACCAAGCTTGGTTTTGATCGGTTTGATTTCCGGATGGGGAGAGAACAACTTTAGGTGGCATTTTGCCTGCAGCAAAGTGAGGGTGATAACCCTGACAGGCTTTGGGGGAAGAAATGAGAAATGTTCTAAGTATGTTTTTCTTGGGGCACCTGGGTGGCTCAGTCGTTAAGCGTCTGCCTTCGGCTCAGGTCGTGATCCCAGGGTTCTGGGATCGAGCCCCACATCGGGTACCCTGCTCGGCGGGAAGCCTGCTTCTCCCTCTCCCACTCCCCCTGCTTCTGTTCCCTCTCTCACTGTATCTCTCTGTCAAATAAATAAATAAAATCTTTAAAAAAAAAAAAAAGACTAAGTATGTCTTTCTTCCCATCAGCACTGGGGTAAGCCCAAATCATTGCCACCTTTTCTAAACACAATTAACTCCACCACACTTTCTTTGTGTCGAGAGAAAGGAGCTGAAAAGTGCATATCCATGATTGACTCTTACTAGCAATGCTTTAGAGAGTCAGGACTTCGATTCAAGCTTCACATCACAGTAGATCTACGAGCTGCTAAGATTCTGCTGTTGAGAAAGTCATTGTTCTCATTTATTTTTATAATTCTAATGCCTATGCTGCAGTTTGATTTAATCCCATTAACATTTATGGAGCTACCAAAGTGCACATCTGCCCAAAGCACATGATAGCCCGTAGTGCACTGTGTGCAGCCATTTGCTCTCAAGCTGTATTATTTTCACTGGCCTGCTCGCCTTGAAGAAGGAGCTCTTCCTTCTCTTCAGCCCAAGGCCAGAGCTGTGCCAGCACACAGTGCAAGGCCAGGAGTTGTACGGATGACTGAATGAAAAAAAGGAAAAAATGCTTCTCAAACCTAAATGTTCCAACCTATTAATAGGCTATAAAATCAATTCAGTAGGCATCTGCTGACTGAAATGAAATGAGTTTAAATTATCAGAGTGATTACATATGATAAAAGCAGATATTTCTTAAATCATTACGTGTGTGTGTCTGTGTGTGTGTGTTATGTGTGTTATGTGAGAGTTACACTAAGGGTTTTTTTTAGTTGGAAAGCCACAGCTGTAGCAAACCCAAAGACAAATGCAACAGCTTACAAACTACCTGTTGATCTGTTTTGCACATTGGAGAATCACCAGCGTCTAGCACATAACAGTTCTCAATAAATATTGGGTAAATGAATAAATACATAAAAGTAAAAGAAGACATTGGTTGAAGGGATATGAAAGGAGAGAACTGGGCCTTTGAAGGGTGGATGGAATTTTAACAGGTAAATATGGGAGACCTCGGTCCAAACCAAAGAAGAAAAGCACTAACAAAGATGTGAAAGTCAGGAAAGTCATTGGGGGAAGCAGAATGAATGGGCACCAACATGGTGGGCAATCAGAGTATCATGAGCTGCCGTCCTCTTTCCCTCCCAGCAGGTGGCGGCAGAGGCGGCTTGTGCAGCCTAGCCCAAGGTTAAGGCTGAGACCCTCACGACAAGGAGTTGCTGCTTAAACAGCTAGAAGACCTGAAGGGGGTGCTATCGAGCGGCGCGTCGGCTAAGTGACAGGCAGCGCGGCTTCCAAGCTCTCCAAGATTCGAGAGCACATTCATCTCCGGCATTCACACCGTCATTAACCAGATCAGAAAGACAAGCTCAGCAAATTCTACAAGGGTGAGAGGTAGGAGCCCCTGCACCTGCGGCCCAAGAAGACACGTGCCATGAGCCTCGCGAACAAGCGCCAAGAGGACTGGAAGGCCGAGCAGCAAGTGGCGGAAGGAGCTGCGGTACCCACCGCGGGCGTACGCGCGGTCAAGGCCTGAACATTGGTGTCAATGAAACACGATGGGGGAGGGGGTGGGACTATATAAGGAGGACACTTTGAGGACAGTTTGAAAGCCAGTGTGAAGAAGGCTTTTGACACCAAGAGTGAAGTAAATGTGTGCTGGGTTCTTCCCCTGCAGCGGTGTCAGACCATGCTGGCAGGCTCAGAAGCCCAAGGCTTGGATCCAGGTCTTGGATCTGCCACTTAAATTCCTAACCTCTTTGTACTTCACCATCTAAAATGGGGATAGTGTAAACAGCTATCCATACAATTAGATTCAACTGCTAGTAACAAAGTAGCAATAACAAAATAATACTAAAGAAGATAGCCTTTTATTTTCCTCTCGTGTAAAAACAGGTGGTCCATGGCAAGTATGGAAAATACGCAATCAGTAGAGCCCTGAGTTTACATCAACAATACTCCACACACGGCTTCCACATCAGGGTTCAAGATGGCCACTCAATCTACATTCCAACTAGCAGGAAGAAGAAAGAACGGAAGTATATTCTCAACCTTTAAGACACACCCCAACACTTCTGCTCAGACACTATTGGTTAGAACATGTCACGTGGAAATTCCGAGTGGCAAGGAAACCTGGGAAGTATGGTCCTTATTCTAGTCAGCCACATGCCCAACTCACATTTGGGAATTCTGTTACCAACAAAGAAGGG